TATTTTTAGTTGCGCATTTTCCGAAGCAATTTTCATTTATACAGGGTGGCCCAAAAAAAGGTTATGAAATCAAGGCCAACTTTTTTAAATGGAAACCCCACTTTTTTGTATATTTATTCAATTCTCCATGGAATTCTGATATTTTTTTATGTAATATAACCTATACCTATCTTTAACCGTTTTCGAGATAATGGCGTCTGAATACAGAATATAGAAAATTTTCAAAAATTACCCTGAGATTTACCCTGCTGGTTTTAAAATAAAACCACGTTTACTTTTCCATCTTAGATTTGTGTGGTTCACAGAAAGTTGCTTCAAATCGGAAAAATCTGTAAGAAATAAGTGGTTCAGTGATTTATTTTGATCATTAAGACGCAATGACTTGAATGTAAAAAATATAAGTGAGGTACCTATTTAGGAAATTTCATTTCCGTATCTTTAGACGTTTCAACTTTGTCTTTCTTTCTTTCTTTGTTTTTCAACACCCTGTACATTGAACATTATTTCGGAACGCCCTTTATAGGAAGCAAAGGCTCGACTGTATCGTTATTCATTTATAGACAATTTATTTGCATCTAAACAAGCTACTCTGGCCTGATTAATCTTGCGCCTTTGATGAAGCTACGAATTATTAACAGCATCTGATCCTACAGGATTTCACTCTAATTTTGTTATGCTTATTTACATAGTTTACGATCGATTACCACAAGCTCTCTTCGTCCATAATCTAATATTCAGAGTGTCTACTGCTCTTTGAATCCCTTGAAAACCTTGAAAACTTCTTGAATGGATTTAATCTACTTGAAATACTTGAAATCTCCCTGAATCGAACTAATGATTCTTGAAAATTTTTTTTGTTATGTTGAATCCGAAAATTGCTAAAATTCGGATTCAACTTCTAAAGTTTTAGTCGAGCATAATTAAATCACTTTGGTGAACTTATTGCTGAAGAAATTGAAAAGGATTACCTTAAATTTATAGAAAATGACGCTGTAATAAAAGAATTATTAAAGTTTGATGAGAAAAAACATCAGCTAGATGAATTTTTTATGAAACTCTGTGTGCTGAGCAAAAAATATCTGCGAATTTTGTCGAAGTTGTAAAACGAATATTAGTATTTTTTCATGGAAATGCTGCTGTAGAACGAAGTTTTTCTTTCAACAAAGAATTCCTAGTTGAGAATCTACAAGAACAAAGTCTTATATCTCAAAGATCTGTACATGATTTTATTATTGTTAATAATAACGGTGATGTAAAAAATATTAAAATAACTAAACCAATGATTGCTGCTTTTAAATCCTCTTTTGCAAATCGAAAACAAGCTTTACAAGACAAAAGAGAAAATGAAAGTGAAGAAAAAAAAGAAAAAGAAAATTGGTTGAAGAAGCAGAGACAGAAAAATGATTCTTATTTTAGAAATTACTTAAATATTTTAATTTTGTTTAATTTTTATAGTTCTCAAAACCAATTTAATATAATTTTGTAATGATTATTGTAAAAAAAAATTTATTTCAGATCTTTGAAAATACGAACAATATTTTTGACGAGAAATGCGAAAATCGATTTAATTTTACTTCAAAACTTACGGTATTAGTCAAGTAAATGCTGAAAATGTTGTCCGCCAACTTGCATACAATGATACAGGTTGTCTTCAAACCGTTGTCGAACATTCTGGAGCACTTGCGGTGTTACTTCGCGACATACATTAATGATTCGTCCTCGCAGATCTTCCAAGGTATCAGGTGGAGTGCTGTAAACTTTGCTTTTAATGTGCCCCCAGAGAAAGAAATCTAAAGGATTTAAGTCGGGTGACCGAGGGGGCCACTCAATTGCACCTCTTCGTCCTATCCAGCGTCCTGGAAACGTCTCATTTAGGTAATTGCGCACATTGAGCGAGTAATGTGGAGGAGCTCCGTCTTGCTGGAAAATCAGTTCGTGTTCATTGTAAGCAGGGTCGTCCTCTATGATATTTGTTAGAGCTGGGTCGATGACATTTTGTAGTAAATCCAAGTACATATCGCCTGTCAAATTTCCAGGAAGGAAAAAAGGACCTACAATGGAATTTCCAAAAATACCTGCCCATACATTCAACTTCTGGGGGTGTTGGGAGTGTGTCTCATGGAAAATCCTTGGATTGGTATCAGCCCAGTAACGACAATTATGGCGATTCACTAAACCATTCAAGAAGAACGTACACTCGTCCGAAAAACACACATTAAAGAGGAAATTATCGTTTATCGCTCGTTCAGTCATTATTTCGCAAAATTGCAAACGACGATCAAAATCGTCTTCATTTAGCTCTTGCACTAGCCGAATCTTATAAGGATGGAATTTGTATTTTTTTAATATTCGTTGGACACTTGTACGACTCACTCCTGTCGCAGTAGCCAATTGCATTGTACTCAGCGTACTATCCATTGCCACTTGCCCCAATACCGCTATTTCCGTAGGTTCATTTAGTACCGGATTTTCAACCTGCCTCTTTTTGTTATGAACGGAGCCAGTTTCGCGAAATTTGGCCACCAATTCGCGAACAATTTTTCCAGACGCATGTTTCTCAGGATGCCGTTGGTTGAACAGTTCGGCGACCCGATTTCCGCATTCATTGTTTTTGAAAAAAAGCTCAATAATTTCTACTCTTTCTGGAATTGAGTACACCATAATTAATCAATTTAAAAGACTCGGCAGTATTGGTACTCTTCAACTACAAGTCACAAGACAGTTATCTAGCAACTTCTTGTGGCCTATCTAAATACGAAACAAAAAGCGGACAATTTTTTGCTCACCAAAATCAGGCTAAAGAACTCGCAAATCAGAAAAAAAAACAGCGAATTCTTTTGAAAGAATTTACCAAGCTAATACCCTAAGTTTTGAAGTAAACTTAAATCGATTTTCGCATTTCTCTTCAAAAATATTGTTCGTATTTTCAAAGCTGCATATTTTCTAAAATAATGGATCGATTTTCATAAAGTAAGAATCGATTTATAGAGAATTAAAAGCCCTTTCTAATGACCCTCCACTTGAACCCCATTCCCATTTAAAAAAAATTGTGGGATGGCACCCCCACTTGAAGATTTTGCTATGCTTTTGCGCCAAAAGTTCCCTCTCAGAAGCAAACTTTACCTGTTTTTGGATTTTGCCGAAAAGTTCATTACTACCCTGTAATGCCTTGCGGTACGTTTTAATATTCCTTTAGAATCAGTAGGAATTTTTTTCTCGCAGTTTCATTATTTTCATAGCTTTGAAAGAAACAAAAATCGCCAGTTCAATAAATTCACTTTAATTTGTCTGCTCTAGTTTTTGTTATTAACTAGAAAATAATTTGCGAATTCCTCTAGAAAAAAACCACTTGCACGATACTGACCCGATTTCGTTCTACTTATGATTTTGTTTTCGTAGTTATATAACAACTTAATTACTCGATTGGTCTTGAACTTCTCGTCGAACTTTCAATAATTCAGTTGACCCTGACAGTGATTTAACGATATGTATTAAAGAACACCTGTCTCGAATTAGCAGACATTACCTTAATATTAATATTCCAACGTTCTTTAAATATTTATAAAAGTACGAGTAATTGCACATTGCGTTTATTATTAATAGCGGTGACTAACGAAAGATTTATTGAATGGAATCATGACCTTTACCCTGAAAAAAATACTGACATTGTATTGGAATTTTAGTAATAAGCAGTCAGTCTTTTAATTCAATAATATTTCTCTAGCAGCTTGGAAGATACATGGTAGATGGAACTAATGAAACAGTATTCTTATACCGTGTGTTAATGAACTCAGAAGACAAGCCATTTACCTCAGATTCTGAAATCACGAGAGGTTAACAGTGATGGCTTTATGTCTAATAAATAGTACGTGAGTTACAGCCAAAAGCCAGGGAACATCTCTGAAGCATAGTTAATACTTTCTCTGCTGATCTAATTGTCGAAATAAAAATTACCTGGTTCAATTAATTAACGATTAGTTGTGGTCAATTATCGGCCGGTTTCTTGTATGCGCTTTTTTAAGCACGAATAAAAAGCCACAACTGAACTGACACTATGAAGTATGAAGTTAACAATGAAATTTTATGTGAACCAAAGGCTTTTTTTAAATAAACTCTGCTTTGTCACTACATATATCGGTAAATTCCGAAAAATAATAGCCGTTCTTAAATCTTTAATGTCAATAAACAATCTCAAGGCTGTCGCAAATATTTTGCGCTGAAATTTAGAAAGAAACGATGATATTATCGTTGAGAAATCCGGATCATTGCGCACAGGGATTGTGACTCATGAGTCATAGTTCGAAATAAATAAAACTAAATTTTTTATTCTTAAAAGATTTGTACACGTAAGTTGGAAATGATATATTAATTGGTCAATTAAGTGCCATTTTCTTCTTTGAATCATTGTATTATTCGTAATTAGTTATATTTATAGTTTATTGTGATTTTGCCTCGGTAAAATACAGAAGAAGGAAATCACCAGGAAGATAACGATTTTTCCGAAAACGGTCATAAAATGTTGACAATTTAAATATGTTTGTTTATCTGCTTCCACTATAGTAAATAGACTATGCTGTGGACAACGGGTGGTAAGTAAGCTAACTTACCTCCTTAGGGGAAAAAAGCGATTTCGAGTTATAAATGCATATTTTATGAACAAATAAATAGAAATATTTGATGAACATTACATTTTATTAATTATTATGAATGAATATTTATAGTAATTGTACATTATTACATTTAGTAACGTTTTTTCGAAACAACTGGCAACACTGACAAGCTCGCTGATATGATTGAGTTCGGAAGCTGCCCGGTAACGGCGTAGACAAGAGTTTAAGAGCAGTTTAAAAAACCAAATATAAAATGACTATTTATTTGATTTAAAACAATAATGTCAAATCTGTATTCTTGGGAACACGTACTATGACCCCTACTATGACTTCCAAGTTACACCCAACATCAAAAAATAATTAAATTAACTTAAGTTTCTTCTTTTGCAGGCACCACCATGCAAGAACTGACCAAAAAGCTGGCCTTCCTCTACCCCACCTACGTGCTCGCCATCGTCTCCATAGGCTACATATGCGGCGAGCTGGGCCACTACCTCATAGGCGTCACCAGCAAGGCCATCGCCGAGGACTTGCACTTCGGGGACATCGCCTGCCAGCTGAACAACACTGAGGTCTACCTCAGCGAGCTGCCGGTCCGCTGCTCCACCGCCAACGACTCGGAGACGTGCTATTCCTACACGCTGAACGGGACGCCGTACTGCGAGTGGAACTACAACGGCCTGGGGCTGGACTACCAGATCTTAGCTGGGCCGAGCTTCATAGCCGTCTTCACCGTGGTCGGTGTTTTGATGGGCTTCTTGGCGGACAAGTTTAACAGGTTGGTGATGGCACGCATTCCTTAGGAGGTGTTGGAGGCACAGTTATTACGTTAATATCAATAGGGTTTGATGTTTAGGTGCAAAGTTAGTAGTCAATGAAAGGATTGCGGACGCTAGCAAGTAAAGCTAGAGAAGCTCTCAGGCATCTCTTGTGAGATTGCGAGTTGCCAGTAACCACGTTCGAGATCTATGGATGTAGAATTAAAAAACAAAATGTTTTTGTCCGATAATTGAAGTCTTGTAGGTGTTTTATGTTTTAGATTCAATCAAAATCAAATTTCTTTAGATTATGGTGGAAGTAATCCTAAAAATGCAGCTTGGGAATATAGTCAAATATTTCCTGGCAAAGACTCCATCACGATCTACACGCGCGTCAAATTAAAAGCCAGAAAATTTGTTATTTCTCCACAAATATCCACGTCGACCGATGTTGGCAACCATGATTTGACTGCGAAACTTTTTAAAATATCTCCTAAGTTAAAAAACTGTAACTGTTGGGCATAACGTCGTATATCACACGTGACAATAAAATCACGTGATAATTTGCTATACTCGCGCAAGCGCTCGTGCATCTCACTTCGATCGAAGATAGAACATTGTACGACACATATGTAAAGTCTCATTATTGTATTCACATGGCTTTGAAAAACACTCGCTTCGCTGGTATTCTATTAACCAACCTGTTCTTGCAATAAAGAATGACTTTTTACACTTGTATTTTAAATATCGAAAAGGTGTCCCAAAAGAAATGCAGGATTTCATAAGAGGAAAAATGATTTCTTTAATTAAAAAGTTGGCAAAGTTGATAGCCAAGTCCACTTGTTGGTTCTCCAACAACAACCAACGAATGTCCATCGCATTAAATAGTCGTCTGGTTTCAATTCCTGACATTGCTGACTCTTGAAGGGATGCAGATGCAGATCTATTAGTAAAATCCGCCGTACTGTGTTTTTTGAACTGTTTCATTGCAGTGACTAATAGCACACTGAGGTTACGAGAATTTCCGCCACACTATCACTCACCGTAGCAGTAATTTCGGCTGAACGGCCGGTACCAGACCGACCGGTCTTTTTATTGTCTTCAAACGAACCTGTTTGTTTAAATTTGGCAACCAATCTGTTGTTTCATCCGGGGCGTTTCTTCTACCGAAAATTGCACGTAATTTGCGCACAGTCTCGGCTACACACTCTCCGTACTTGTAATGAATCTTTACTCTCTCATCCGTCGTATAGGGCATAATGATGTCAACTCAAACCATGCTTCTTTTTAGGACATCCACTATAAAGAAACTATGAAAAATATTTCCGAATTGTTATTTCTCTTGTCATGATTAATCTTAATTAAGAAAAATTATAGTAAATGTACTTGCGTGATTTTACATTTTTGAAAAACACAATCCGAGTTTCATAATTTCATAATTCAATTTAGTTACTTACATAGCAGCTGCTGATACACAAACTAATAAAACAATGTGTGGTTTTAGCAGGAATAAAACTTCTGTAGAAAAAGTCTTATCGATACGAGAATAACGTCCAAAATTAATCAAAAATGACATTAGTTATTAGTTAAATAATGTAATGAGTAAAAAATTCAGAATTATTGAACACTAGCAAGATAGCAAATAAAAAAAAATACAAATTCAAGTAAACCAAAAATTTACAAAAAATTAAAAAAGAGTAGACAAGGGACAAAAATTGGTTTATAATTCCTTGTTTATGTTTTTCAACGGGGTTCCAAAGATTGGATTGAAAAAAATCCCTGCTGTTAATCCACTTTATACAATTTTTTATTTCAACAATAAAAACACAAATTTCAAATACATATTTTTTAAAATTTCTTCAGATGTAGCAACTCGTATGAACATCTAACAGATATTAAACATGCACTAAACGAAACTCTGTATAATTTGTACATAAATTAACTTGAATACTCAAACCTAACCATAATCAAGTTATCTACGAATATGGTAAAAAAAAATCCGTACTTTATTGTATAATTAATTGGCAAAATTACATTTCATGCGAAATAAACATACTGTAAATTAAAAATAACTTGTAGATTTTACATAACTAATTTTTAATGAAAATTAACAATAAACAAAAACCACATCTTATAAATTTCACATAAATTAAATATCGTTGGCCATCAATCAAAAGCAAAGTTTTAATTTTAACGATAATTTTACGACTGTCTTAAAAGGTGAAGTAATATTTAAAAGCAAAATGTATGTACAATAAAAATATATATCTGTATTTTATATGCTTACACATGGTTGTGAAATAGATCACGAGATAAAGTTATTCATGTAAGTGCCTTTCTTGTCCTTTAGCACTAATGGAAACATGAGGAAATCTAGAAAATTGAAACATTATTTACTTTTTTTCAGAATATAAATGTACCTATATACTTGGATATGGAAAAAATATTAATATAAGCAAGTGCTATATCCGCATTTCATTAAATATAAAACATGCCTGTGAAGAAATAAGGTTTCCTGGAAAGTGTCGCAATAAGATATGCTCATATGATTACATTATCGTAAACATGATTTTATTAATTTCAGTTATTTACCTCATTGCCATCGCAAATTGCCTAGCGACTTTTTTTAATTCAAAGATGAAAGTATGACTGCATAACTGTTTAATGCAAATTACTTCCACGTTAGCGAAACAACACAGTTATATTTCGAAATATCTCTCGGGTTTCCCATATTTGGTGCTCTTATCTTACTCAAACGACGACTTTTGTCAACAATATCCCCTCAGAAATAGTTTTAAAAATTATGTCCGGAAATTTTCTCGAGATCGCGAATATTTTGAAAATTATCTCGACACGACTCATTTTTTAAAAATAGCTAAATACAGTATTTATATTTATATGTAACTTGCATCCTATATTATACCAAATAGATTATTAGAAAAAGTACAGAATGTATGCCACGAGTTCGTCAGTCGTGGTTCTCTCAAGTGACGTCACCACATGCTTAAGCACGCCATATTTTGCAAATATTGTTTCCGTTGCCATGGTAACGTTTTAAAATAACATCATTTGATTGGCTACAAAATAGGGATTTGAAAATTTCAACAAAATTACTGTCTCCAAGAAATTTGTGACTGAGAACTAATTTTTAAGTTTTTTGTAATTTTTTTTTTCAGGGTAAAAATGTTAGCAGTATGCACAGTAATCTTCGGCGTGGCGATAATCTTGAGTGGAGGTGTAAACGAATATTGGCAGCTGGTTTTGCTAAGAATGATTATGGCTGCCGGAGAATCCGCCTGTAATCCTTTGGCAACGGGTATCCTTTCGGATATATTCCCTGAAGAAAAGCGAGCTTTGGTTATGTCCGTCTTCAACTGGGGCATCTACGGTGGATATGGTGCGTATACAATCCGATAAAATATCAGAAATGTACGCGATCCTCAAGATAAAACCTTGTTGGGGATTTGCTTAAATTTATGCAACTACATACTACATATTATTTAAATTTAATAATTTTATAGCAACAAAATTTAATATTAATTATTGTTTTATTCTACAATTCTACAATTATTATGTAAATAAAAGATTTTACCTCATATTAGTTGTGTTACATAATAGACGTGCTAAGTGTTGTGTGTGGTATCATACTAGGTATGAATAAATTTGTACAAAATAAATTATAAAAATGGTAATTGCTTAAAAAACTGGATATAAAGCTGGAAGATATGCAATATTGTGTTTAATTATTTTATTTGTTGACAGTCGTTGGATGCAAAATGCTGTTGCATAATAATATTTAATGGTGTTTTCTAAATTCATATGATAATTGAATTTCAATGTAGACTGCACATGCTAAATATACAGAAATTTATTACAAAATATGTGACATTTGAAGAGATTTTAGTATTATTTATTCACCAAAACACAAAGAATATACAGGATGTTCCATTTAAAATACCAAAGTTATGTAGCGTCCACGCGAAATAAAACACCCTGTGAGGCTAAAAATTTTCTCTACATGGACCACATGATTCCAGACAACTTTTATTAAAACCATTTTTTTTATAGATTTTACAGTTACAGAGTTACAGAAGAATCCCTCTTAGGGGGAACACCCTGTATTTCGTTCAGTTATACACATTTAAAAACACAATTTTATGGAAATTTTTTATACAAATTATGTCCAGATCCAAAGTAGTAAGCAGTGAGTCACAAGTAAATCAAATCCAAATTTTTACGACTTCCCGTTTTGCTAAATTGGTTTCGTGTATTCTCTGAATGAAAATTGTAATGTGCCGTCCGTTCCGCATAGTGTTCCGATAATATGTTCAGGTTACGCACTGGCACTTGGAATATTCTATCGTTACAAGACCCTATTGGTCTGGGTGTCTTGAAATATGTTACCACCCCGTTTCAGTTTTCAGTTAAGCTGCGTTAGCGGGCATCATAAGCGTACAAGCACGACGTGCTAATATTATCACATTTCAGTTATTACTATAAGTGTTGTTGAAAATATAATTACTTCCGGGTAGTAGTGGACAATCTCATAATCACGACATCACGACATTTAAAAGATCGAAAACGTTGTAGGTGGTAGAAAGCCAGCTTTAAATACGAGGGCATGATTGGCGAATACAAATTTTTGTATAAGTAAAATGTACCTATTTGTTAGTTATAACGAGCGTTCAAATAAAAACGTGGTCAAGTTGGTTCTGAAAATTTGGACGTAGGGCGTAGCGTATAGCAAATGAACTTAAACGTCATCTGTCAAAGCGCTATATCGCCGCTATCAATTTGAATATTTTCGTTTTAAAAAGCGTTTAAAATGGTGTTTTCTCAAGAACAAAAAGTGTTTATCATAGAGTCCTACTTTAGAAATGGACGCAAGATTGATGGAATATGGAAGTATTCTATTGAGGAATGTTTCATAGAATTTCAAAATCAATTTCCCGGCGTTGTTGAGTACAAAATTTTTCAAAGTGCAGTTCAGCGTTGTGTTAATGTTTTTCGTGAAACGGGCAGTGTAACAAGAAAAGAAGGAAGCGGCCGACCTAAAAAGCGGACTGAAGAATTAAAAGAAAATGTCCAACAAATAATGGAAAATGCGCCAAGAACTTCTGTACGTGTTTTATCACAAATGGTGGGAGTATCAGTCGGTACCTGCCACACAGTGTTAAAAAAAGATTTGCGTTTGTTCTCCTATCGTTTAACTTGTCAGCAAGAACTTCATGAAGTTGATTTTCCGCGACGGGCTGTATTTTGTGAATGGTTTTTAAACAACTACGGTGAACTTCATAATATCACCTTTTTTTCTGATGAAGCCTGGTTTCATTTAAGTGGTTACGTAAACTCACAGAATATGAGAATGTGGTCTTCTGAAAAACCAGATAACTTTTTTGTCGAGGGCCCTCTACACGCTCAAAAAATTGGAGTTTGGTGTGCTCTCAATCGAAGGAGGATTTATGGACCTATTTTTTTTAATGGTACTCTTACTGCGCAAAGGTATAGAGAAGAAATTATCGCTCCTTTTGTTAACCAGCTGGAAGAAAACGAAATTACAAACTTTTACTTTCAACAAGATGGCGCAAGGGCACATACGGCAGGCGAGACGATGAATATGTTGAGGGAAGTTTTCCAAAATCGACTAATAAGTCTCAATGCTGAACATGAATTTCCACCGAGGTCATGTGATATTACGCCGTGTGATTTCTTTTTGTGGCCTTACCTTAAAAACACTATTTTTGAACTGCCTATTCCTGATTTAAACCATCTGCAGGCTCGACTTATAGACAAGATTCGTGAAATTAACAATACCCCGAGCATCTTAGAAAATGTCTTTAATTCTTTGAGGAACAGGTGTGAAAAGTGCTTGGAACAAGGAGGGGGACACTTTCAGCAGCTGCTTTAATTTATTGTTATAACAAGGAGGGGGACACTTTCCGCAGCTCCTTTAATTGTTTGTTATTGTTATCACGATTATTCTTTAAAATAAAGTTATATAGTCATTAACGTTATTGAAACTGACAGCTGCTATACAGCTCGTTGAGAAATGAGGTTAAGTTGGTCGCTATAAGCTACTCCCTACGTCCAATGTGTCAGAGCCAACTTCGACCACGTTTTTATTTGAACGCTCGTTATTAAAGCGAGTGTAAATTTGTAAGGATAATCTAGTTTCTTTTTCGAAACTCTCTAAAATGATACGCCCATGGAATCCTATTACATACACATGTTCAGAATTAACCACTAATCTGCTCATAATTTTGTTGGGGGTCTTGTTAAAGCTTCAATTTTTTTCTGTACGTTAATTCCTCGACTTTTTTTTTAGGTATCGCTTTCCCTGTGGGTCGCTACGTGCCCCCATTGAACGCCTGGGGTCTCGGCTGGAGAGTCGCCTACTACGGAGCGGGTATCGTGGCCATAATCCTCGCCTTCCTGACCTGGTTCACCTTGAAAGAGCCGACGAGGAAAACCATCGGGGAAGGCGACAACCAAAACAACCCCGACGCCAAGAAGATCACCATTTGGGACATAATCGTCGATCCTAGGATCATCCTGCTGTGTTTCGCGGCTTCCATACGCCACTGCGGCGGCATGTGTTTCGCTTACAACTGCGATCTGTACTACCAGCTTTACTTTCCCGATTACGATTTGGGTAAGCGCTAGTTTTCTTTAGAGCTCGACAGTTGCGTGCCAGATCAGAGGCGTGGATTTAATCTGTTTGCACTGGTACAACTCGGCCCAACAAAATATTGAAAAAGAACTGTTTTAGGTTGGTGGCTATTTGCCGTGACCATCGTCATAGGCTCCATAGGCGTAGTGGTGGGAGGGGTGGTGTCCGACAAGATCGTGGCCAAAATGGGTATCAGGTCTAGATGCGTCGTGCTGGCAGTGAGCCAGATCGTCTCCACGCCTTTCGCCTTTGGAAGCGTTTACTTTACTCCTACTTATGCTATGATATCACTAGGGGTGTCATATTTCTTTGGTAAGTCACAACTCTTTTCGTTTTCAACATAAACTTTAGAAATATAAAAAATGAGTTGAATTTAATGACAATTTAATTTTTCTCCAGCCGAGATGTGGTTTGGAATCCTCTTTGCCATGGTGGTAGAGATCGTGCCTCTAAAAGTACGATCAACCACGATAGGCGTATTCCTTTTTGTGATGAACAACATCGGTGGAAATCTCCCCATAGCCGTCGAGCCAGTGTCCAAAGCTTTAGGCTACAGGGAGAGTTTGTACATATTCTACGCTGGATGTTACGGTTTCAGTAAGTATGCTCTCGAAAAAGTGATTATTATGCAACCGATATTATACTACCTTGTTTATTTTGTTGCATAACATTTGAACGCATTCGAATGTGCACCGTATTTGTTAAACTGGTTGCCTACATCTTGAAACTTATTGCAGGTTCTATACTTTTCCTCCTTACAACCTTCCTTATGGAAGGTCCGAAGAAAGACAGTCCCGCTCCACAGAAAAATCTCTCTGGGGTCGACAACGTGGTATTCACCAGCGACGAAACCAACATGCCCACCATCACAGCTCTAGTGATGAACACCAAGAGGCCGACAACGGAGAGCAGTAGATTATAAATGTAAATAAATACGAGAATGTTACTGTTACCTGTACGTTTAGGGACATCCAAGAATAATTACAGGGCATAAGGAGCGTGATACCTTAAATTATGACAGAATATTCCTGAAAAGTGTTGTTAAATCGAGTTTAAGTATTAATTTTTGTCACGATGAAGAGAGGTAAGACGGAAGAAAGGAAAAGCGATAAAAAGCTTCTCTTTTACCATTTTATTATAAACAACAGACTTTTGCCTTTACGTTTTTATAATGAAGATGTTATACGTTTCGATATTGTTTTTTTTTTTAATAAAATCAATTCAATTTCTTTTATTTATTAGTTATAAAAGTGTCAGGCGTTGGAAATAAAGCTTGCCCGATGTAGAGACTGTAAAAACTGTTAAAAAACATTTTATAAAAGTGAATACTCAGGAAAGGTTAAGAAACTTTACTATTACAAAATGGCACCACACTGTTTTCTCCAGAAAACAGTGAAGACATATAAAATTTTTTAATCTCTTAAGAGAAAATTTATTTTTCAACAAAATACATTACAATTTTCTTCTGAAGCATCGTTATATTAGATACTAGGCCTGAAAAATGTATGATTTATGTCTCTCCACTTGTATCACTTTATCTATTGTGTCTGCTGCTCGGACAGGGTTTTATTTTTTTATTTGTCGGAGATTGTGATTCCAGATCATTTTCGATCTTCATGTAATTTATGTATTTTATAAAAAACTATGAATAGTGTACAAAGTTAATTTATTTTCAATATACTCATACTGTACATGATTATTTGATGTTATAATTTTATTTAAGTTAAAAAATAAATATTAAATCTGTGCTTTACTTCATTAATTTCCATACACTGTATTCCAAACCCCATTAAAAACTATAAAATAATTAAAACCATTCAAAAAACGTTAAAATCACATGGAGGACAGGAAAATTGCTATTTGGAAAATATTAAAAAATCGACGTAAAAATTTTCCATCAGTTCCAGATATTCTTTTAACGCGTAGTAATCATAGTCGACATGAGAGCTTCACAGCCATTTTGTGTCCAACATAATTGCAATAATAAGAATGCCTTGCCCATATTTCATACAAATAACGTATGTCAGTAATATAGCAATAACCAACAAAGCTTTGATTGTTGCATATAAGAGTGAAAAAAATGTTATGTACAATAAGACTATAAGATTAATATATGCATTATAAAGAAGTACCTATGCTATGTTCATAAGTTATAAACTTTGTCTTATAATGTTTGTTTTATATTTAAAAAATTAAAAGTAAAAAATGAGGAATGATCAGAAATTCCAATAGATATTTTAATTTTCTTGTTAACTTTTTAAATATGAAAGGAAATATTAAATACAAGGTTAATAATTGAATCTTGCTGAGAAAACACATAGTTATGACAAAAAAGCATTTATTAGTGTCTAAAAAATCACTTATTGGAAGAAAATATAGGTATTTTTGCTGGTATTGTCATAAAACTCAACGTCCTATTATGACAACCTAACAATTGCAATGAAAACTTTGCTAGGGTAAAAATGTGTACTGTAATAATATGGGATTACAACAATATATAAAAAGTTAACATAAAACTTTTAACCATTAATAAGCTCCTTTAACAAAACATTTTTTATTATGATTCCGTACAAAATCCATTACATCAAAATGAATAGAAGAACACGGCTTACCACCACCCAACGTGCTAGTCTGTTTTTTTTTAGTTAGGAATATAGTACATTTATAGGTTCTTAAAATAAAACTAAGAAATTAGGCAACCAAAATTACACGGTTGTGATAATATGGTTGTCTATACTTCAGCAAAATAGAAAAGTAACAGTGAACACTGATTACTGAAGAAATTCACATCATATCACAATTCACTAATTCAGTGATAACGTAGATATCAGGAAATATGGCGTTTTTGCTTATGGCAGAAAACAACAATTAAGAAAATTGAATGTAGTTTGTCAAATAATGTTAAAAATATCCCTCAGACGTACACAAACAATTTAAAATGAACAACACAGAGTATTATAAATCACTTATTTCCGACGAGTAAGTCTTACCCTCATAATTTTGAGGTTGTATTTAAATCATCTTATCCTATTTAATACTTCAGGGAAGTGATAAAAGCCCTCATAAAGGAAAGCAAGGCAAGGGAAGGCGAACTACTTAGAGAAAAGACAAGACTGAGGCCCAACTTAAATTTTTTCCACCGTACTGTCACAAATCTTGTCACTTCTAATAAACGGTAACAATACATATAGGTACTGGCTCACATTTTTATCATTTAACGTTTATTTCAGCGTCAGCACTACTAAAGACTTGACATATGAAGAATCACGGAAACCTATTTATAATGTACAGAGGAGAATTAAGACCTCTCGTACGTTAATCAAAGAAATTGTCCTGTCGAACAAAATAGACTTTGTCAAAGCCACTGGCAGTGGTAGGTTAGTGGAAAATAATTCAAATGAAATACTTCAAAATTCTATGGAAATAACAAAGTGTAAGGACTTGACACCACCCTTCAAACCAACACAGAAACCGCCTCATAAGGCTCGGGGCACAATTAAGACTCCTCGCAAATTAATAACGGAAATGGTAATGTCGAATAGGACAAACTCTGTCAAAGCAGCTGACAGCAACACTGGAGATCCTGTTAAAGCAACAGAGTGTGGTGGTTCGGCACAACCCCCCGAATCAATGGAAGTTACAAGTGAAAAAGATTTGAATAAATATTTTGTTCGTGCAACGGGCGTAAAAACGAACAGTAAATGGCCAACACAGAACACAGCGAAATTGAAAAGCATAGTGTTTAATATAAACATTAATAAAGACAGTCTTAGGAGGCCTACGAAAACGCCTGAAGAATTTTTAAAAAGTGAGGAACAGAGCTTATCGGTTCGAAAATCGCTCGACGGTGATGTTATAAGCATTTCTAGTTCTTCGTCAACCTCTAGTGAATCAGAAAGTGAATCTTAGTAGACGTATATTTTGTGCAGTATAATACTGTGATATATATCTGTCGTAAATTATTTTTATAGATCTGTGAGTGTAACTAAATGTAAGATATTTTAAAACTGAAAAAACACAACAAATAATAACTGTATATTATTTATATTTTTTTATTTACTCTACAAATATATAGGGTGTTCGCTAAATAATAATATACCATTTTGACAGATGACAGAAAAGTTAATTTAAAAAATTTCATATGAACGATATTTGACGTAGACTGATGAAATTTGAGCCACAGTTTTATCCACGTAGAAGCAAAAATCTACAAAATTGACTTCAAATAACTCTGAAGTTTTTCGTTCCACAAAAATAGTTTGTAACATTTAAATACTTACAACGTTGTGTGTCAAAATTTTAAAAGACTGTTAGCGTATAAATTCTTTATTTTTCTAGCGTATATTCTAATTCTATTTAAAATTGTATTTCTAACAAAAAATTCTCATAAACTATTTTTGTGTCACGAATAGTGTCAGTTTTTCGATTTACTTAAATATGTTGCAAACTTGCCTTAATATAAAAAAAATCAGCACTCTAAATCGACTCGTAAGAGATCTCTTTCTTGGTACTAATCCCTTTTATCTACACCTCTGGTTAACATATTTTCAAGTCGACCAAGTGAGTTTTTACTTCTACTTAGAGGTGCAAGGTTTATCACTGCTCCAAACATCTTCAGAGATATTTCAGAATATGAGATATTCTAATTTTAACACCCTATATCTCGAAAAGGACCTACATTCATGTGAAATTTTTTACTTAATATTAATTTTTCTGTTATCTGTTAAAATGGAAACCATTATTGAACTGAACATGACTGTTTCATCGAGTTTGCTGTGTAGGTCAATTCGTTTTAACAACAAAAAAGCTAAAATTATAGGAAAACTGTGTCCAAGAAAATTTACTGGACCTCGATATTATTTATTATTATTTTTTATAACTACTGCAAAATAAACGTAGAAAATTATTGATACACAATGGATGATTCAATAGGATTAACCAAACACCAGAATAGTCTTAAAAAAATTAAAAAGTGATGCCACTGATATTTTTTCATTTTAAGGTCTGTCAAAGGGCTTGAATACTAGAAAATACCAATTTCAGTTTTTTTTGTCCTATTAATCAATGTTTAATTTTGGCACACCCGGTAGGATGGAACAAAAAAATTGTACTTGATACATGTTTAGAATGACTTGTATTTTTATTGAAAACAAAGCACATTTTGTGTAAACATTTATGAAGACCAATCATGTCAGTTAAATTTTCACCGCCCAACAGATATTTTTTAATGTTTTCATATACATATACAGAGTGATCTTAATTTTAATTAAAAAATCTCATGAAAAAGTTTTATATGAATATGGGTCATAGAATGTTTCACTTTCAAGATAAAAGACTACCTACTGAATTTATAAAATATAAATTTTCCCAAATGTGCTGAGGATATTTTTTGACATAGCCTGATGAAACTTAACGGATTCCAAATACGTCGATCAGTACCATTAAAAGCCACATGTCCTAATTGTATTTATAAGAAAATATCACGTTTTATAAAAAAAATCTAGGAGATTTTTTATTAGAAATATAATTTTATATTATGTCTAAAAACTTATTGGCGTAGAAGTATTGATTTGTTTAACAAGGTTGTACTATTTGAAAATGATAGTTTTGTGTGCCAATGATGAACTTTCGACATAGTTCCAAACATATCAAAAGTTGCTAAAACTTTCAATCTTCGACCTAGAGAATCCATTTTTGTAAATAGTATATGTGGAAAATCACATGGCTTAAAAAAAATGGATCAACAATATTTGCATTGATAGACATATATTCCATTTTGTTTAGAATTTAAATCATGAAGTTATTGCTTTAATTCTTGATTCTGTCAAAGGCATATGACTGTGGATCATGACATTTTATTGAATGTTTTAGTATGCGATGATATCAAAAGTTAGTTTATTTTTTATTTCATTTCGATGCATTACTTAACCAGTATGGTATTCGTCAGGGAAATGATTTAGGCCCTCTTCTGTTCATGTCATATACAAATGATTTAACTAAACTACATGCCAAATTTTTTCACAGCATTCGCAGATGATTCATTTAATATTCCAAATGTTGAAAACCTACAGGATACAACTAGCTGTCTTAACAGACTTGAATACAAAAACCAATTATTTTTGCAACAAAAAAACCTGAATTGTAAAATTAAAATAACATATACAGAGTTCGTCGCTTCCATACCTTCAACATTCTTTCATTACACTATAACTATTATCGTTTGGGACATAGTCAACAGTGTTATAAAACATACGTCCTTAGATGGATTGAAAAAAAATGTACCTACTTCTAGTTCACCTGACAGATTTACTTAATACTAATGAGAAGATTCTAACATAAAAATAATCATTTTTCCCACAAATATTCCGTGTTGCATCAACAAATTGCTTATTCAGCTGATCTTTTAGTCATTGAACTGAAAATTAAATGTCAAGCGAGTTAAGAAATTGTTAATGACAGTGAAAAGGAATTCTTCTTCGATGAGCAAGTATTCTACGGCTATTAACAGTGGGGAAAGTACGTTTGTATAATTGTGTACATGCACAAATACAGGGGCAAAAAATGTAACAGCATAATAACGCCCAGGTTTTTATCGACGGACGATTGCTGGCACAAATATGGTCAATTTGCATATAATAACCATGTTATACGTTTTGTTTTTCGATGTTTATGGGACGAGGCATGGTAAATTAGAGCCTCGTGCCGCGGTTATTATTATCCGAAACGCTAACATCATTTATGTGTTGAAAACTCTGCATATTTAGATAAAACGTACAATCTGTGCCCAAAAAAACTTAAAAGAAAATTTAAAAAATACTGTGTTAATTTATAACTTGTTTTTGGGTAAGAAATAACTCCCTAAATATGTGGTGAAATAAATATTTGAAACGGTTCAAACCGTTCGCAAAGCATTTGTGACGTCACACCGTTCGATTAGGTCGACTCGACGACTATATGCACTATCAGCATTAGCTATTGTTATTATTTATTTGTAGTATAGTTTAAGTTTTTTTTCCGCATTTGTGGTAGTTTAAATTTGTTCCTGTCTCCTTTATACAGGGTGTTACAAAAAGAGTGTAAAATATTTCAGGAGGTAATAGTTTGAACAAAAATAAGCAGAAAAGTCTTAATAAACATGGGTCGGCAAAGTAACGGTTGCGGAGATATGGACCACTATTCGTTTTTCAAACATTTTATTTTATTAGGAATAAACCGACAAAGGAAGCTTTTAATAAACAAAAAACAAAGTTAAAGAAGATGTTCAAAGTGCCCTCCGTCCATTTCCAAGCAGGCACGACATCTTCGTCTCAACGATATTCGAACTCTTTCGAAAACACCCTCCTTGGTTTGGATTTCTTGACACTTTTGATTAATCCGTAGCTGCAGCTCTTCCAGGCTATTTACAGGAGTACCATACACTAATGTCTTCAAATATACCCAAACAAAGAAATCTAGAGGGTTCAGATCAGGCGATCTTGGAGGCCATAAAACATTACATAGTAATTTTTAAAAAATGATATTTGTGCATATGAACATAAGTTTAAAAATGTACTCTTTTGGTGTAAATATGGATCTGTGGCGTTAAAAGACACTGAGCTATAAGATAAAAGCAAATAATCCCGTATTCTCTTCTAACACCAATCGGCTTTTCTTTCTTAATTAGAATTGTTAGTGCTAACAAAAAATGACAAAACCGAGTTTCGCCTTTGCGTGTTTCTCATATCATACAATCTAGCAAAAATGGCAACATTTTGTGTCATTACGTGACAAAAGAGACGATATGATGTATGTGAGACCCAGCTAAGTATGTGGGCTAGCCGCTACCGAGTGATGTGACGTCATAACGTGCCTTCCATACGTTTTTCCGCGCTCCGTCTTCATTAATTATTTTGAGGGGGAATTTGTTGAAATTAAATGCCGATTTTTTTGTACATCAACTAACTACGTTTGAGTACTTTCTGAATATAAATGAAAAAGAAACAATGATAAATGAGCCCGTTGGAAGTATTACGCGAGCTAGTCTCAACAAAATATACATCCTGTATAATACTAAACCCAAAATGGGAGAAGCCAAAGCGTAGGTTATTGCCCCTTCACTCTGCATCTCCAGATGCCGCATAAATTGGCATTTTTTTTAACACAACGAATTGTTAATAGGAAATACCCATCAAAATATAAAGCCTTTTTTATTAGTAGAATAACAGTCCGAACGAAAAATAAATGCCTTGATTATTAAGTCACAAATTACAAAACATTAGCATAATTACAGACTGATTGCGAATTATAAACAATTTGTCCTACAACGGACATAATAATTCTTATCCTACAATTATTATATCGTGCAATTTTGTTAATTTTCTAAAATTAGGCAATTCTTTCGGACTGAAGGGAAGGTAATAGGTTAAATTGCATGTTTATGTAAAATGCTGCTCTTGAAAACTGTGAGTAACGATTGTAATTTCCGATTGGTGGAGGATGGCAAAAATTCCACTAATAAACATTTAACTTTTTTTAGAATAATGATACAATCTCGGCCATTGTTTATTTGCAAAATAAACGTTAATATGAAAAGAAGAAATAAAACAGGTATATTATTGTTAGTTTCCCTGGGGTTAGACATATTTTTTCTCTAATTTTAATGATCCAAATATTTTTTCCATTCCTTGTAATTGCAGAAACCACGGTGAACAACATCATTGACTAATACAGTACATACTTGTTTAAAAACATTAGTATGTAAGTAGGCATTACTACCATAGACTTTACGCACTTGAGCTTCTTAGAATCGGAATCCAAACGAGGCGTTTTCTCAGGAATTCCATCACAAAATCAGTTTATTTAAAAAAGTCACGTTTCCCTTAGATGACGCACTTCGACATGTAAAAATATGCTCAAGGTTTATGTTTTAGGCAAAATTTGGTTGTCCGTTACATACATAATAGAAGAATACGCCTATGTACAAACTTTTCTTTGAAAAATATTTAAACATTAAACTGTAACGCCCTGTATACGCGTTTATGCGGTGTGGACCAGGCGCGCTAGAAAACAGCCCTTGCAACTTTTCTTTGTTAATAAGGAATATTTTTGTGAAAATAATAGACTTTAATTCTTCAGGATCAAGTCGGTCTGACAATATGTAAACTTATGCATATTAACAGTTTAAAAAAATAATAGTGGTCCAGATACCAAGGGCGTCGCCAGCCAATGGGCTGGGGGGCAAGATAAAAGAGAAGAAGGGAGAAATATAAATTTGTGTAGAAATAGGTACAGTGAATTAATTTTTTTTTTAGAATTTTTTTTAATAAAACCTGTATACAGGGTGTTAAAAAATGAGTGTAAAATATTTCAGGAGGTAATAGTATGAACCAAAATAAGCAGAAAAGTCTTAATAAACATGGGTCCGCAAAGTAACGGTTGCGGAGATATGGACCACTATTCGTTTTTCAAACATTTTATTTTATTAGGAATAAACCGACAAAGGAAGCTTTTAACAAACAAAAAACAAAGTTACAGAAGATGTTCAAAGTGCCCTCCGTCCATTTCCAAGCAGGCACGACATCTTCGTCTCAACGATATTCGAACTCTTTCGAAAACACCCTCCTTGGTTTGGATTTCTTGACACTTTTGATTAATCCGTAGCTGCAGCTCTTCCAGGCTATTTACAGGAGTACCATACACTAATGTCTTCAAATATCCCCAAACAAAGAAATCTAGAGGGTTCAGATCAGGCGATCTTGGAGGCCATAAAACAGGTCCGGCCCTTCCTACCCATCCAAGTGGAAAAGTTTGGTGTAAATGCTCTCTAACGGCCATGGAAAAATGAGCTGGAGCACCATCATGCTGGAACCACATTTGTTGCCTCTGATTCAAAGGAATGTCTTCCAAAAACTCATACAGTGTGTTCTGCAGAAAGTTGAGGTAAGCAGCGCCTGTTAATCGGTTTGGTAAAACAACAGGACCTAGAAACCTGTCACCTACAATGTCCATCCAAATGTTTAATGAAAAACGTGCCTGATGTCCAGATTCTATTAGAGCATGAGGATTTTCGATGGCCCAAATACTCGTATTGTGAAAATTAAACACTCCATTTCTTGTGAACCCGGCCTCATCAGTAAAAAGAATGTTTGCAAGAAAACGAGGGTCTTCAGCATCATGACGTAGAAACCAGCAGCAAAAAACCAAACGTGCTTGATGATCATTTATTGGATTTAAGGCCTATACTCGTTGCACATGGTATGGATAAAGCAGTTGCTCGTGAAGGATTCTCCAAACAAGAGGACCACTAATTCCTAGCTCGGCTGATATTCTCCGCACACTCGTACCTGGATTCTGCTTTACCATTGCTAGAATTTCTTCTTCTGCTCTAGGAGTGGATACCGACCTTGGTCTTCCGGATAAATGGCACTGTTTGCTCAAGGAACCGGTATCACGCAATCTTTGGTGAATTCTTCCAAACATGCGTTGTGAAGGAATCTGGCGATTTGGATAAGCGTCAACATAAAGACGTCGCGCTTCGGTGGCGTTCCCATTAGCACGACCATACATGAAATGCATGTCTGTTAATTCTGCGATAGAGTAACCAGCCATAGCGAAAGAAAACTTGTGCACTGAGAACAACGGTCAAATACGTATTGTTTATTTCACTAAACATCAACCAACTATTATAAGAAAATACACAATGTTTTTGCAAAATAAAAAAAGGGGCTAAAAACATAAAACATTCCATATCTCCGCAACCGTTACTTTGCGGCCCCATGTTTATTGAGACTGTTCTGCTTATTTTGGTTCATACTATTACCTCCTTAAATATTTTGAACACCTGAACATATTATATAAACTAAACTATAACCACAAACTTTCTATTTTTATTCATTGGAATTGGAAATACGGATTTGATCTGTGGTTGCTAATGTCTGTTTAACAATTCCTATAGAGGACAATGTTTTACCACACCAACACGAGATGGCCTTAGAGAATGCATGCTCCGTCCGCCCTATCCAGTCAAATACTCTTATTTAGTTACTCATATGGAAAAAAAGACATTTACATTTAATTAGAAACGTTTTTCATTCCCCCTATATAAAATTGATGCGTTACATATATACATAATAGCTTTCAATTAAAGATGATGAATCAAGTTAAAAGAGCTGACAGGTGAGATTGTAAAAAAATTATTGAAGTCCGTGGACCTTTTGAAAGTGAAGCAAAAATTCAGATTTTTTTCCCCGCCGGATTTCTTAATGATTTTCTAAAGGTAAAAATGTTGACTTTCAGATCCCGAAACTAAAAATGTCAAGCTTCAATTGGCTTATTTTACCTGTTTTTCTCTACGATCATTTTTCATCTTCTGAAAATCACCTAAAAATTTAGGATTTTTCTTTTTATACATTAATTTTGCTGACTAAATTAGATTAAATGTACCCTGTAAGAAATATGATTCTAAGTACAGGTTTGCTACTATGTACTTAAACACCAAAAGTGTTTATCTCACTATAGGCTATTGATTATGGGATTTTCAAAGGAGCTCAAGATATTTTATTACATGAATCGTTAAAATGCTAATTTTAGATGAAAAAACCGCGGAGTGCTATTAAATTAGAGGGTGGAAATTGGAGATAGGGATGAAAATGCACCCCTTTCAATTTTTTAATTGTAGCTTGAAAACGAAGCAATATTTCACTATAGTTCATAAGAAAAATTATTTAGGGAATTGAATTTCCCATTGAAATGGCTTATTTAAAAAATTTAAATGGAAAATTTTATGCAAAAAATCGTTAATAAACAATTTAAAAAAGCAAAAAATAAGTTTTTTTTTACTGTTTTTATTCTATTTTTTTTTATTGGAAGTAGGCAAAGAAAATTGCTGTACAAAAAAAACTAGATGAGATTCCCTTCAAAATGATGTGTTTTCAAAAATTTTTGGACTAATATTGACCGAGTTATAACCGGTCAAATATATTTTTTAGATTTTCGTCGTTTTTAACAAAATAATGATTATAATTCTTATTATTTTTACAACAAATTGATTCTTTATTTAATAAAAAAATATGCCGTTTTTTCAATCTCACGGCTCTGTTATTGCAAATTTCGTAATCGGATCCGCCATTTTGTAGCTATTTTTATTACGAACAAAATTATGTCCTAAGCATTTTTTCGTACAAAGTCATCCCGCTGAGATATTTAAAGAAAACTACTAAAAAAAAAATTTTTCATGATTAAATTGTTAATAACTTTTTTCCTGATAAAATACTTTGTCAGCAAATTAGCCTGTTATTGTACTCATCATTTAGAGTAGGCCTGTGTAGTTATTTCCGGGTTATCAAGGTTTGACACAGGCCGAACCTCTATCAACTGGACTATAACTGATTTGTAATTTCCTCGTGAAACAAATTTTCCAAATATTCTTCACGACATAACAAAGCTTTAACCCTCTTGTTCTGTGGAAAATGCCCATCGACCTTCGTACATACGTACCTGCGTCTCCTAAGATCGTCAATTTTTGTAAGCGTGTACACATCAGAATGACCACGAGGAGGGTATATAAGAAATAGTAGGGGGCAAACTAAGCATATACTCTCCTAGATCGCGACAGTAACGGTTTGGTTCGAATTTCAAGACTTATTTCTCAATTCGTCGTTAATCATGGGTTTTTGTGTCAACGGTGTTATCCTTCTGTTAACGGCTGCTGCGGCTACGGATGCGGCGAAGTTGCGTAAGTTGAGTTTACCTTGTTCTTACTATCTGCACTTATTGTTAGTCCAGTAGTCAGGGGTGCAAAGCAAATAATTTTCCATAAATCACAATTTTTTTTTAAAGTTAATTACAAATATGTTATAGAACAATAAATTAAAATGTTATTAACAATTAACATGGCAAAAAATGCTTTTTTATTTGTTCTTCTATATCTCGGTTCTGCGAAGAAACTGCATAAATATACACTAGTGGAAAAAATTAAGAGATTAAAAAAAATCTAAATATTCGGCGATTTTTCAAATGGCTGTATCTTTGATAAAAATGGTCGTATTGGAGTAAAAAAAAAGCAATTTCAAGCTTGAAGTTTCTAATTTTTGGATCTTGCAAACAAAAAATTTTCAAGTAACACGTATCGTGCAATCTGAATGAATATCATGAAAAAGAATTTTTCGAAAATTTTTTTCGATCTTATTTTTGGTGTATGGACTTGAAAAAAATTTTCCAACTTAACCACCTTATGGATTAGATAGGTTGACCATTTAACTTCAATTTATTTTTTTTTTTTTTTGGTCTCGATACGACCATTTCTCGCTGAGCTATCGGACTTTGAATGAAAATGGATCATTTTCTCTTTGTTTATCGATATCTCAGAAACCAATGGTTGCACAGAAAATCGACGGTGGGTTTCAGAAACTTGAATGAATTCTCTACAAGGTCCTGGCACGTTTTTTTAGAATTTTTTTTTTTATCCTTAACATGACTGAAAAATAGGACTTTTAGGGGTCTTCTAGAAAATCACGTGCCACATTGAGAATATTGGGAAAATGACTAATGTTAAGTGTGCCTTTTACAGGTCATTGGTTGTACCCCTAAAAGCCCGTTTTTTTGTTTCATTCGATTGAATTTTTAAAAAAATTAAAGGATCACGTTTGTTTGCCTTTAAATGCTCATAATCTGTAAAAAAATTAAAACATTTTTTTCCTGATTTTTTTTTACTTTCTTATTGCAGAAAGCGTTTGAAATTATGAAAAAAAAAAGAAAATTTTTTGAAAAATTTTTCCGAAAAAAAAATTTTTTCAACCGATTTTCAGAAATTTCGCAAAACCGCCGGCATTAGCGTTACCCAAAGCGTACCACGTGGAGGTTGCACGGTCGGATTTACGCTTCTTTTACACACGTGCGAAAAGCGTTTGTTATAACAAAAAAAAAAAATTATTCAAATTTCAAAGTATCGCAGCAATAATCTCTGAAAAGGGTGTAGATCGAGGTCAATATTCTGTTAGGGGTATCAACTTTTTTAAATTTAATTAAAATTCGATCAGCATAATCACGAAATGAAGTAGGGGAATCGTGTCGAAAATGCTTGGGGGATTACTGAGGTAAATTTTCTGGAGTGAATCCAACGAAAAAATGTTTCAAAAAAATTTTCAAAAATTTTTTTTATTTTTTTTTATCATAACTGCGCGTATGTAAAAGAAGCGTAAATCCGACCGCGAAAATTTTTATTTGATTTCTGAGATATCGAAGAACAAAGAGAAAATGATCCATTTTAATTCAAAGTCCCATAGCTCAGTGAGAAATGGTCGTATCGAGACCAAAAAAAAAAGAAATTGAAGCTAAATGAACAACCTATCTAATCCATAAGGTGGTTAAGTTGGAAAAATTTTTTTCAAGTCCGTACACCAAAAATAAGATCGAAAAAATTTCGAAAAATTTTTTTTTGCAAGATCCAAAAATTAGAAACGTCAAGCTTCAAATTGCTTTTTTTTACTCCAATACGACCAATTTTATCAAAGATACAGCCATTTGAAAAATCGCCGAAAATTTAGATTTTTTTTTGATCCCTTACTTTTTTCCACTAGTTTATATATGAAATTTTGTACAAGATAGCATCGCTCCAATTTTTTTATTACAGATATAATTTTGCAATTTACATTAAATGGCAAAAATCGATGGTTTTTCCTAAAACTGTTGTCAATCTTCTAAAAATGAATCAAACTCCACGAAACTTTCGAAACATACTCCTCAATTCGTGTATAACAAGGTTCCGAGACCCGCTATTGGACAGATGAATCGTTGCTGACTTAACAATTATACGTCATTTTGCAAAATTTAATTTTATTAATTTTTGAGTGTTTTAGAAGGTTTTATACAGGATGATTCAAAATTCAGTCAAAGAATTTAGGGGCGTACTTTTGAGGTCAAAATAAGAATTTTTTTTTCCTATAAAAGTAAGTCCACAAATGTTTAGTTTTCGATATACAGGATGTTAAAGTTTTTTAATTTTTATTTTTTAGGAAAAATTTTCAAATTTGAATGTTGTCATAAAACTTGGGGGACGGGGGTTTTTTAAGATGCTAAAGTCTATAAATTTAGCATCCTAAAAAAACCCCGTCCGCTCCACGTTTTATACCAACATTCAAATTTGTTTGGATTATTCATAAAAAATAAATAAAAAACTAACATCCTGTATATACAGGTTTTCGATATGAAAACTAAGCATTTGGACCCACGTTTATAGGAAAAAAAAGTTTTATCTTGACCTCAAAAATACGCCCTTAAATTCTTTGTACTGAATTTTCATTCGCCCTGTATGTAATCAAAGTTATTCTAGATTCTCTAAGTCTTGTAGTATGTATTGACCAAGTTTTGTAAAGATGGAAGATTTAAAGAAATTTAACCATCTTTCCAATGTTTCCGGTAAGTCTGACGTAAAATCGTCAATAATCCAGCAACGACTCATCTGTCCAACAGCGGATTTCGGAGGCTTAATGTACATAAATTGAGAAGTATTCTCCGAAAGTTTCATTTATCTAATTGACAATAAAAAGAAAAACATCTATTTTTGACATTTTTTAATTGTAACATTATTTTTGAAATAAAAAAAAATGAAGCGATGCTGCCTTACAGAAAATATCATTTAGAACAAATATGATCTCTTGCATTTTCTTCACAGGATGCCATTCAACCGAGATATTGAAGAAAAACAAAAAAAAAACATTTTTTGCGATGTAAATTATAAATAAAATCTCACTATTTAAAATTGGGTTTTATGGAAAACTACTGATGACTACAATCACGACGCGACGTTTTGGGCCTCTGCTGACTGGACTAACGGCATTCGCACAATTCGCAGTTGGGGACAAGTGTCAATTGTCTCTTATAAATTGCACAGGGCCCCAAAGAATACATTTTTTTGCAAGAAATCATTGTACATAAATATTATTTAATTTTTCATTCATATTTACTGAACTGAATAATTTTTATATAATGAAATTTAATATGTGTCACAAAGCATCACTCAAAATATCGTTTAAAATTCAGTAAGTTATAACATAAAAATGTAAACAAAGCAAAAGTATAAAGGGACATTTTTCTAACTACGACGATATGTCAATTTATACTTACCGTTTTCCAAAAACTAAAAATCAAAATCAAATTTTCGTTTATGGTCGATAACTTTAAAACGAATAAAAATAAATCAGGCCAACAACACGAATATATTTTACCAAAGGATTTCAGATTCGTAATCAGCGACCTCAAAAATTTGTAACATACCTACTTTCGGGTGCCGATGAATTGAGATTTGCGGTGCTGTGTTGAGAGTATATCCAAAAATAAGTCAAGAGAAATAATTTAAACTACTAAATTTCAACCAAGTGCATTTTAAAGAGTAAGTATAGCACTTTGAGATACCATTAATGGTTTTATCAAAAAAAATGTACCTATTCATGTAACATAACCTCAAATGTGTCAAAAAATCGCGATTCTGGCACTTTTAGGTTAGAATATCTCGAAAACCAGAGCCAATTGAGAAAGGACTTTTGGAAATTCGAATTCAATGCACCAAAATCCTTCTGGTTTCTGGGTCAGAGAGTCGGCCAAATTTTGTCGGCCTGTGTTAATTGCAATTCTTAAGAAACGGGTACCCGATAAACGTATAAAAACGACGAAAACAATCAATTTATAATATCATGTCAGAAGTGACAGTTTTTTTGCAGTTATTAAACAAAAAATTTATATTCAGGGGCCTCCTTTAGGGGCTCGTATCTCCGTAGGAGAGCCCTCTAGGGAATATTTTTATAGGAACTTGTCATGTTATTTTAACGTCCCCTGTATAAATTCGAGAGATTGCCCATATATTCTGGGACACTCTGTGTATTCTGTTTGCAAAATAGCATACGTGCGGTTTTTCAGATTCGCCAATTCGACTCCTGGAATCATATACATACACTAATGCAAACAATTAAAGGATCAAAAGAATTTCCGAAATTTTTCGGTGATTTTTGACAGACTGTATTTAGGTGGAAAATAGTCGTATCAGGAATCTAAAAAAAGCATTTTCAAGCTCTAAGATTCTAATTTTTAGATCTTTCGGTCGAAATATTTTAGGGCTACGATTATCATGCAATTCTAAGAAATAGCACAACAAAAAAAATTTTTAATTTTTTTAATTTTTTTTATCTAAGCCATTGCATGGACCAGATAGCCTGTTTATTCAGCTTCAATTTCCTTTTTTTAAATTTCGATACCACCATTTCTCATCGAAATATCGGACTTTTAATGGAAAAGGATCCTTTTATCTTCAATCGATATCTCGGCGACAAATAGTCGTACAGAGAATTGAAGGACAGTTTCGAAAATTGGAATAATTTTTCTATACCATGCTACCGCAACTTTTCGGAAAAAAAATTTGTTTTCATCTTTTACACGAATTTTAAAAAACAGGAAAAAACGGTAACTTATGGTTTTATAGAAAATTTAGCTAAATTAGAAATACTCACGAAATGACTAATGTTAAGCATGACTTTTACAGTTCGATATACCCAGAAGAACCCTGTGAAGTTTCATCTCGATCTAGCGAATCGTTTCTTTGTTTCAAACAGTCATACTTTTTAAAAAAATTAAAGGGTCACTATTTTTGAGCTTAAACACTTCATAATCATTATTAAAATGGAAAACAAAAGTTTTCACAGATATTTACCGTAAATAACGTTTAAATTGATGAAAACAAAAAAAAAGAAAATTTGCAAAATTTTTTGTCGCGCTATTTCTTATAATTGAAAATTTCGACCGAAAGATCTAAAAGCTAGAATCTTAGAGCTCTTCAAAATGCTTTTTTTTAATTCCAGTATCGACCATTTTTCACCTAAGACTGTATGTCTCTCAAAAATCACGGAAAAAATTCGGAAATTTTTTTGACCCTTTAATTGTTTGCATTAGTGTTTTTTATGAGCAGATTGAAAAATTTTACTTCTCATTCTTTTACTGCTTCAGATGTCCCACAAGGTACTAATTTAGGACCGCTCTTGTTTTTGCCTTTTATTAATGATTAATGAAAAATTGCAGTATACTGATGACTTCAAACTTTATTCGGTAATAAATTCACTCTAGGACCGCGATCGCCTTCAGATGTGCGCAAATTATCTATCGTCATGGGATGAGTTAAACCAATTGTTTTTAAATATATCCACATGTAAGGTAATCACCTTTATTCATACAATCAATTTTATTGCCTACGATTATTGCGTTGACGAAAGTCTTGAATTATCTAAGAATTTTTTCTAAAATGGATTCGAAATCTTGAAAGACGGCCCTGGCCTGCAACTAAAAAAAAACGTTTTTAGCTGCCCCAGATAAGACTGCGATTTGTACGAAGCAAAGTAATGTGTTGTGTTGCAACTTTATCGGCCGTAACAAACGTTTGACATCTATATATTCAAAATGGCCAATTAAGAGTGCCTGAAAGGTATCCGATTGACCTGTATTTAAAAAATTTGTGTGGCAATTTTCGAGGATTTACGAAACCGTCTCGATTTCGGTAATCTGAAAGCGCCGGACGACTGTTTAAACTCATTAAAAATCAATTATGAGCGGGAGAAAAAGTAAGATTCAAACGAAGAAATATAGCCCACATTATATCAGATGATACGGCATTAACTTTGCGTTTCAGAATGATATTTATTTGCAGAATTTATTTGTCCAACCAAATCACCAATTTACCGGATAAAGTGCAAAATATGTAGCATTACTAAAATTACAAACAAAATCCTATAAATACAGATACATGGTGTCCACAAATGTCACCGACAACGTTTGACTGCATATTTGTGACGATAAATAAATACGATATACGAAAAAAAACTTAAATAAAAAATGTTTGGTTTTTGAGTTACAGGCCTTTAAACTTGTCAAAAATAAAACTAATTCAATTAATAACTTCATAACCCTTTTACCGATCACGTTAAAATTTGGCATATTTATTTGGACTATTACGGCGTATTATTTCTTAAAGCTTTAGTCACATCGATGTACTGGGTGATAGTTTTCCCCGGTTACCTCTCCCTTTTAGCGGTCAAAACTTTTACAGTGGTCGTATTTTTTTAAAACAGTCAGCAACATTGAAACGGTCGTTTTATTTAGAAAAAATATATTGTCTCTTGAGAAAATCGCCTACAGAGAGTCCTAAAGAGTTGCACGAACAAAATTTGGACAGGACATAGCTAATACAATGCGAAACATCGCCTTAATGTTAAAAATGGTGTCAGCGCCGTTCTTGGTGGTGAAAATTCGAAATATTTGAAATTATTCAATATTCATGGCTGAAAACATACATAGGCATTGTCGAAACCAAGAGAGTTGCACGAAGTGTGATGAGAATCCCAAAGGAACACGACAATAATGACATTATCTGATAGCCACAGCAATCAACATCTTGTTTTCATCTCCTACTGATCTCAAAGAATGGCTTTCTGTAGGCGATTTTCTCAAAAGACAATATTTTTTTTAAATAAAACGACCTTTTCAATGTTGTTGACCGTTTTAAAAAATACGACCACTGTAAAAGTTTTAACCGCTAAAAGGGAGAGGTAACCGGAGAAAACTATCACCCAGTATATCAATTTGACTAAAGCTTTAAGAAATAATACACCATAATAGTCCAAATAAATGTGCCAAATTTTAACGCGATCGGTAAAAGGGTTATAAAGTTATTAATTAAATTGGTTTTATTTTTGATAACTTTGAAGGCTTGTAACTAAAAAACCAAAATTGTTTTATTTAATTTGCGGACACACAGGGTGTCCAGTTTATACTTCAAAAAAATTGGGGTTCTTCTTGGAAAATCGGGTAAAGATCAAAATGCCAAAATTTGTACACGAATAAACATCAAAACGTGTCTTAAGACAAACGTACAGATCATTTATTCTCGATGGCAGTTTGAGGGATATAATTGAAGGAAAAAGATAATATATAAAGGTATACTAGTTAAAAATGGATAGGATGTACATTTTTACAAAAAAACTAAGGTTAGTCTCGCTGGTCACAAAACGGCAGTGAGTAAACTTAAAAATATTAACATGAAAAAGTATCTTACAATTTGACAACGTAAATTTTGATTGTCACAAGATATGAAACAAAGAAATTGTAAATAGTTTTTGTTAATTTAAAGCAAATCGAAAAATCACTTATTTCTAAGTTTCAGTATTTGTTAAAGTTTAACAATAAAAAACGTTTAACATCGTCGTCTGCATATGTTAATTTATGGCAACTGAGAAAGGTTATTAATAAAGATAGACAAGAGAAGTGGGTCCAGATTAGAACCCTGAGGTACTCCAGAGGGATAAGGTAACGGCTGGGTCTAAATCCATTGCAAGTGACACTATGCGGCTCGACAAATATAGCTTAAAAATCTTTTGTAAAAGTATAGTGTGGTGTATTAGGTCAAAGGCTAAAGTCGGTGTATATTACACTCGACTGACCAAGATGATCAACGATATTCAAAATAAAATTTTTTTATACATAAACTTGTCGTTTTTAGAAACAGTGTTGTGGTTTTCCATACATAAATTGCTTTTATACATATATTTAAATGGAGAACGTATTTAAGACAAATTTCGTACACATCTTGCCACATAGTAGCAAGAGGTCATTGTGGGAGATTTTGGTGATAGCTACTAGGTTGTTGTGACAAAAATCGTTGTCTGCCCTCCAGGAAGTCTAGCCAAAAAAGTAAAGTGATTACAAATATTTAAAGAATTAGAGTAAAGTAAGTAACAAGAGGCTAAAATCAAATTGAAAATCATTCGGTGCGATGTAGAAAAAATGCAAAGTCTAGTTATTAACGGGTTAATAGTTACTTTACTCGTCTATTTAAGTTTTCCTGTTAGAAATACAATGTCATGTATTTGCTAATAAAAAATCTTGACAAAATTAAAGTGAATTATTCTTTATAACATGTTGTGACGTTAATTTATAGAATTATGATTCATATCAGTCGATCTAGACAATTGTTGTCGGTTTTGTAATAATAGCTTCCGTATGCACGTACCATATACAGGGTGGACGGTTTTGGAGAATTTCAGTCATGTCTCAAAAAATATGTATCTAAAAGATCTCTAAGGCTTGATTTTCTAAAACAAGGACCACGAAAATTGGTATACAGATTTTTTTTCATTTTTACGTTTTTGTACTGTATATAAAGAGTTTTTCAATATACATTTTTGCGTACAATCCGACGTAGATGAACTTTTTTTCATAAGTTTTGCATTTTCATGTTGTAAAACTGAAATATCGACAAACCTGCCCTATTTAATCAATACCTGAACTACTTCCTGACAAATTTTACTATTTTCTGACAGGTCTTAGGACTATGAACCCTGAAAACTTACTGGAAAAACTATCTCTATTTTTTAAGTTACAATTTTATTTGAACAAATTTGAAATAATCAGTGGTTTTATTTTTGAGCTTTTTGTGTGTGAAACTCATACATAAAAACTAGAAATACAGACATTTTTGCCAAACCCCATTATTTTGTCATATCGGACCACCCTGTATATACTTGAAGAAGTACCAAATTAATGCAGATTTTTTTTTAGCAAGTAACTTCGGGAGATGCAGTAAAAGTGACCCCAAGATGCCAGAATGTTTAAGGGCCAACGTCGAGGACGCCATACAAAAACTGAAAGATGGTGAGTAGAATTTACTTAAAACTGTTTCTGTTAAAAGTAACTAACCAGTTAGTTCTAAAGAACAGCTCTCAGTTGTATTGCAAAATGCAGTGCAATCAACTCTCCGAAGGCTGAAATGTGCATTAATTTTCATTAGTGTTTGTGGTTTTAATCGCAAAGAAAGATTCACTTATACGGAGTGTTATTAAAAATGCTTGGCCAGGATTTAACGCCAAACTTTCCATCACAAATTAATAAAAGAAGTTCGTATAAATATATGTTCTGAAAAACTTCGTTTTCGGGACACAGGACCTTCAAAATGAATGAAAATATACAGGGTGTATCACGAAGAGTGCCCAGTAGGGTTATCTCAAAAGGTAGTCAGAATTGAAATCTGAAAATTTGTATACAGGGGGTTTTCAAAAAGATCTATTCAATGAAAATAGTGTCAACTTTCTCGCACTTCCGGTTATACCGGAAGTCATCATCAACTCTGTTATTTCAAATGGAACACTGTATATTTTTCCATTTTTTAATTCTACGGTAAAATCTAGACTAATTTCATATAAGGTATGGAAATAATAAACTGCGTCTGATTAATTAACTATAATTTTTGTTATTGTTATACCTTCACCAAAAACAATAATTCAGTATGTTAAATTAAAAAGGGCGATGCTTTAAATTACTCCACCATACATAGATTTTTCTATGTTGAAATCAATAATTTCCAATTTACATAAGAACTGTTAACTTTGGGTATAGGGAACTATAGTATCATTTTAAAGTAAATTTACATAAAGCTAAATGTCACAGTTATTCTATTTTCAAAAATCACTTACATCCCTCAATTTTTTGGAAAATTAATACAAACTTGAAAACTGTCACATTTTAGCCCATAGTACCTTACATGAAAATAGTCTAGAATTTGCCGTAGAATTAAAAAATGCATAAATATACATAGAGTTCCATTTGAAATAACAGAACTGATGATAACTTCCGGTATAACCGGAAGTGCGGGGAAGTTGACGCTATTTTCATTGATAAACCCCTGTATACAAATTTTCAGATTTCAATTCTGACTACCTTTTGAGAGAATCCTACTGGGCTCTCATCGTGATACACCCTGTATAGTTCAAAAACAGTTGAAAACAACGTGTTATCAATGCTTTATTCCATTTACGAATGATGTGGCAATTTTAACAATAATGAACCAGGTATACATTTTTGTAAAGCTTTACTTTTTATTGGAAGGCCAATTTGATATATATATCTTGGAAACAACTTGAGAGATAATTTTATCAAACCCCTAAGCTATATCCTTAGATGAAAAAAATGGCATGGTGATATGTGGAAAATCAAAAACTAAAGCTAGACATGAAATTTGAACGAAATTGTTTCAGTCGTGACCAAAAAAATAAACACTAATATCAATATTTTCATAACAAACAATTTCTTGACATTTTCGACCACTCCTGTATCACTACCGCTACAGAAATTAAAGTAAAAACTGGCCTATATGGTCTTTCCTACGCAAAACTGATTGGTAATGTTAATTTTTTAATAAATTTCATGTGTTCTTCACTTTATTACTAAGGTATTATGTTAATTCGAGTAAATTAAAAAAAAAATATATAAAAAAAAATCTGTCAAATGAAATCAAACAGTTTTTTGATACGCAAGTTGATATTGCATTGCTTCATATGGGGTACCTGCCCCAAGTCACACTGAAATAGCTAATAATTAATAATTTAAAATAAAAATCCAAAATATGTCTTACGAGACATATTCACAAAGTACTGAGACTCTGATGCTCTGTGGTTTTTGTTCTCAACAAAGTTGGCAACACTGCATTCAAAGACAAGGTATTTGGGGCAGAACGCGCCCTCATTTGTCTCAGTCTGTTGAGAACTGTTGTTGTAGTGGCGTGATGAAATGAGTGCCGCTATTCCGAATCCCGCCAAGTGAACAATTCCTTGACTGTATTGTGACTGGCGACGAAACGTGAGTGGACCACTACACTCTTGAAACGAAAAGATAATCAATGCAGAGGCGACATCCGTCTTCACCATCGGCGAAAAAAATTCAAAATCATTGTTTCGGTGCGAAAAATCATGGCAACTGTGTTTTGGGATATGCCTCGTAATACTATTAACATAAAAACACGTACCCAACATTGAAATTGTTAAAAAATACAAGATATTTCAAAGAAATATCAAATTTCAAAGAAATATCTTGTATTGTATGCTATAGAAACTCGTTGCACATTTTATTGGGACTGTTTCTTCCGACAGCCTTCTTGCAAATGGAATTAACTATCTAGAGTATTTTATATATAGACTAGCAACCCGCCCCGGCTTCGCACGGGCAAATATAAAATAGCCTATGTTATTCCGAGGAGATGTAGCTTTCGGTAAAATTGGTTGAGTAGTTTTTGAGTTAAATCGTAACAAACAAAAAATCAATCATCTTTCAACTAATGCGACCCTAATATTAATTTTAAAATAATCCACGATATATCTATATACCTAAAGACAACAAACGAACTCAAAACTAAAAATGCAAAACCTTTAAATTTAAAACAATATAGGTAACTACCAACAATGTGAAAACAAAACGAATTAAATTAAAGTACCTATGTTCAGGACTATAAATTTTAATTAATAAGTAAGTAGTTAGGTATCTAACTACATAAAGAAAACAAACACGAAACAAAAATGCGACTATGAAGTTTTAAATGATTCACAATAAAAAAAACAAACAAATTATTAAAACTCAATGAAATAAAAGTATGCTTGCAAGTATCTATGTATGTTCCGACTACCTAAAGACAACAAATACAAAACAAAAATGTGACCTTAAAATATCGAACCCAATTATAACTTTCCAACAACACCCAGAAAGAAAACACAGTCGTCGGTCGTCACCTCCATTCGCTCCAAGTCAGTTTATTAAAGGATCACGCGCGCGTTATCGTTCGGCTTATTAACTAAACAGTAGGCAAGACGGTGCGGGGGGAGGGTCGGCGATCGCATCAAGCGAAGCGAGGCGCTTGAATTTTATTCTCGCGTCCGTAATTTTTTATTCATTTAAATTATATGGTGTAAAAGAGTAAAATAATGTGCATGAAATGCTTAAAGCCCCTAACGTATTTAAAATGATAATGATTAATACCGTATTTGTGTAAATAGCTTTCCAATTACCGCTTTATAATTGCCCATTTTTTAAAGTATTAAAATGGATATAGGTAGTATGTTATCTTTAACATAAAGACATATGCCATCGCGGACTTTTCGGTAGGCATATATAAGATACACAATTCCACCATACATTGATACACTACATAAACTTTCGGATCCCCCCGGCTCGGACGCGAAGCGGGGGGTCACGGGACGCCCGTGCGGCCCGGTCGAATCACGGCGACACGAAATTAATTTCATTGCGCATTATTTTGATTTTGCTATATCTCCTAAGGTATTCATTTAATTTGCATGGTGTAAAGGGAAAAAATAATCTTCATGAAATGCTCAAGCCAACTAACGTATTTAAAATGATAAGGATTAATACCGTATTTGTGTAAATAGCTTTCCAATTACCGCTTTATAATTGCCCATTTTTTAAAGTATTAAAATGGATACAGTATGTTATCCTTAAGAGATAGACATATGCCATGGCGGACTTTTCTGTAGACCTATATAAGATACACAATTCCACCATACATTATTTTGTTATATCTCAAAGGGTTTAGGCAGCGTTTTCGTTGAAAGCTCCCAGACGGCTTATTTTTTTCCGACACCTCCAACAAATATCGTTAATGTATACACAAAATTAAACAAATTATATGCTAAAACCTTCCTCGAGAACCACTCTATCCATTGGTGAAAGCAGCATGAAAATCGGTGCAGTAGTTTTTGAGTTTATCGCGAACAGACAGACAGACAGACGCGGCGGAGGACTTTGTTTTATAATATGTATAGTACGATCGTATTCGATGCAAAGTAATAAATCATTGCCTGTCAAGGGAATCAGTGCAACACATTTTATAGGGGGTTTTGGAAATTGAATAATTTCTTTATGCATTATGGATTAACAGTTATATATTTATGAAGGACAAAATGAAAAACAAAGGCATCTCCTTCGCACATTGGGCGGCAGGACCACAATACATTTATTACTCCCTTCATTATCCCTCATATGACTTGTGTCTTGTGTTTTTTGCGGCGGCGCGCGTGCCGGCCTGGCGTGGTCAGTTGTATTGGTGCTGCGTGTTTCTCGCTCGCGATATCTGTGAGGTTATAACTGTTATAAGTGCAATTATATTTCTTTCGGGCTATATGTGTGTTTCGCGCTATTATTTAAGAATATGTGAGTGAAATCATATTTCTTGTGCTCCGTAACAAAAGTGTTTTTAGTGTTTTATTTGTGTGCTGTGTGTGTGTTTCGGGCTGTTGTTTGTGAATCGTGAATGCTATTATATTTTCTGTGCTAGTGAAGTGAAGTTTTTTGTATTATTATTGCTCTGTTGTCGTTATATGGAGAAATGGAGGCGGTGCCTGGATGTTCGCGAGCCGGATGTACTGCTGTGGGTACAAAAAAATCTATATTAAGTTACAGAGAAAAAACGATAATATTAAATGTCTATAACCCTTTAGAAAAGGATCATCCCATGAAACTGAAGACTGGTTTGGTGGAAATGTGTTCTGGATATACTGGAGTAAGCGAATTATCTGTTTTCAAAATTTTAAGAGAGAAGAAAATTGAAGGAGACGTTAAGAAACCTAAAAAAGGGGGTGCAAAGAAGAAATTACTATTAAATGAAGATGAGAAAAATGCAGTTCGGCGTACAGTACATAAATCATAGAATTTATATTTTGTTTATAATTTGTTAACATTTCTTGTTTGACAGAAAAATAACTTATTTTGTTGAGATTGGTAGAGAATTGTTGTTAGTGTTTTCATTTGATAGAATCATATCATAGGATTTATATTTTGTTTTCATTCTGTAAATATTTATAGTATATCTGTTATACAAGGTTTTTGCTTTGAAACTCCGTTCTCCTTATAAAAAAAAGAATCGTAATGGGGTGCGATGAAGAGATCAGTTCACGTCTGGAACCCTGTTCCTACAAAAATCCCTTTATTCTCATAAACTATTTGTTTTAAATGTAATTTATTATAAATCCAATTCGTTATTTAAATTCCACATAAGTACTACATTTCACCTCTGTACGCGCCACTGTTTATTGTTCCCTGCTCTACGATCAAGCTCGCCAGGTTAGTATTTGACGTATAACCGACCACTTCGTACACTCGATGCACCTGGCCGACTACAGCTAGTACCAGAACACAGTGCGTATGCGGCGGTATTTCAGATTTTACATTCAATTTCATTTTAAATTTGAAACGGTTCATCTTACGCCTCCTAAAAATGATGACACGATTTTCCTTTGATAAAAGACCGACAATTTTTTGCTTTACTTTGCATCGTATACGATCGTACTATAGTGATATAAATACATTTTTTTTATCCACTTTTAATTTAGGATCATCGGAATTGGGCCTGAAGAGATTCGAGCCTCTGGACATCCCCGAACTGATAATAGGCGAAGGAAAAGGTCCCGTCAACGTAGTCCAACATTTCAAAGACGTAGAACTGTACGGCTTGACTGGATCTAAAGTGCAGAGAGTAAAGTAAGAGTACGGAGTATTTAAATCACTGAGAGATAACAAAAATGATAACTTCGTTCACAGCTTCGACTTCGACAAGAAAGAAATGCACGCTAGATCCATCACTCCCGAACTCAGACTACAAGGACAGTATTCCATGAAGGGAAGGATTTTGCTTTTGCCCATTGTGGGGAGTGGACCCTGCAATGTCACTCTGAGTAAGTACTTTTCAATATTTAACATGGATTTTCTCAAAATTTTAAATAATTCCTGAAGATATACTGAAAATAATTTTGGTCCCTCAAATAATTGCACTGCTACGAAAAAATCGAAAACAATATTTTATTTCAATAACAAATTAGTCATTTATCTCGAAAGAACAAGGACATATGTATTTACCACAAACAAATATTTGTCGACAATTCAAATATTGACATAAAAATAGGACGAAGACAAATGCCATACAACCTTGCTCGAATAACGTGAGTTTTTGCAATGCCATGCTAACTAGCTGATATAAAAAATATTGTTTTAGCAATTTGTCCAGGCATATTGATTATGCAGTTTCATTAAGAATATGACAACTAACTACTTAACCTTTTTGGTAGTAAATGTAAAATCATTGTTGCAAGTTACATATTATAATTCGTCATATCATCATTGTTTACGTAAATAAAAATTGTCCTGACTTGTTTCCAAGGATATGTATCACTTTTGCCTAACAGTAATTTTTACTGTGACATTAATTGTAGAAAAGATTACTATAAAATTATCAAACTTTTTTCTAATTGTTAGACTACTAAACAACTTTGTTTTTTTCGAACAATGATGAGTTTTAAATGGAAGATGATCTTCATTTACCACCATTCTTTGTTGTTTCGTAAATTTCAATGGAAACAATAACCTAACCATTAAAAGATGGTTTGACTTTTACTTTAGATCTTTCTAACTTTATCCTTTATCCATCTAACTAAAAGGTACGAAAAGGTAGTTGCTATAGGTATAAAACACCACTCCCTACCATTCTGAAGGTTCTCTATTTGGTTCATAGGAAGCTATTTTCTGATCCGCAAGATCCACACCTTCCATGTCTTTATTATAAAATGTGATTGCTTTTGGACAAGTCAACTCTCATTTTTCTTTCATTTTTGGTTTCACAGAAAAGTAGAGTGTCAAGTAGACAAAAGAAGAAAGTTTTTACTGCCATGTTACTGCCAAAGTATATTGTCATTGACAAGAAAGATACAATCACCTCTGCACTTTTGTCGTCTCAAATTTTGGTCCATTTTTCTTAACATTAGCTCGACACAAGTAGAAAAAAATGGTCAAAACACAGACATACGACATGCGACTAAATTGTGCTTTTTCCTTTAGTTCCATAACTTTTGTAATACATATATGTTCAAATCAATAATCACATCTACCACAACTAGATTCCCCTTCCTATGACTCTCAGAGATATAATATACTCTTTGAGAGGCGATGGATCTTTGGACTTTACTACAGTCTCATCTATAAATTGATTAAAACTGTTCGTCTTGCATTCTGAAACGTTATTTTCAGGCACATCACAAGATCGTCAACGCGATACGACTTGGCATAGTTTGCCCTAATCTGAATCATTTATCTGAGCGTTTTCTTCAACTCCTTTTTGGATAAGTATACGACGACTGATTGTTCCGCAATACAAAAGCAATATTATTGTGAGGCATCTTTAACCCTATCAAACTTACTAATGGAATAAAAGTGTTCCACTAGAATAAAGTCTCTAATTGTGATAAAATTAAGTATAAACGTATGTACTTTTGTTTAGATATACATCTCTTTTAGTAGTTCTGTACGCATTGCTTTATAAAAAAACACTATTTTTAATGAAGTTAACAGTACATGGGCCTCGCTACGTAAATATCAAAACCATAGAATTTTAGGTTAGTAAAACGACGTTTTCATGTATGAAAAGTAGCACGGACTAAAGATGAATGATGTGAGACATATACAGGGTGTCCCTGAAAACGATGGACAACGCTTGACCACAGGTTCCTTGGATGAAAATAAGACTATTTAGCCTAACTTATATACAAAAGTGCACGCCTACTGAGATATAGCCTTCTAAATATATTTTTTTCAAATAATTTGAAAACTATTTTTCTTAGAAACTTCAAATTTGGTATACTTTTTTTTATATAAGAGCAAGGTAAATTTGGAGAGAATACATATACAGGATGTTCTATTTCTAGTGCCTGTGCGCCACTGGCTATCCCGTAAATTTTTTCTGTGTATGCCAATGACGACAGAATTTATATTTTTAAAAATAAGCACTATTTTAGAAGATTTTTTACTCTTACAAAATTTCGATATCGTTTATGGATTTCGAGTAAAAATCGCATTTTCTATACATTAAATATAGGCAAAAATTCCGATTTATAAAAAATAATTTATAACTGCAGCCTCAAAGCAGGGAATAATAATGAAAACACGTCACATTAAAAAAAATAACCACATTTTTGGTATTAGTATTATCAATCAATAAAATAAAAATCAACACTAATATTTTAAATAAACAATATCAACTAATAATGTAAGAAAGTCAACATTAACATTTTAAATAAACTGATATTTGTAATCACATTAAAATAATATTACAGTAAATGCTCAAAGTTACTTTCTTGTTCTTAAACGCAAACATTAGTTCTTCGAAAATTAGAAATTATCCAATAATTGTGCATTACCTCTCATAACATTAATTTCATGTTGTATTCTTTCCCATATTCGTTTTCTATATTTACTAAAAAGTTATTTTATACTGTGGTCCTCAACGCTCCCTAGATGAAATAATTACATGGGTTTAGGTCCGGGGATCGAGGTGGCCATTTTAAAGGGGCATTATTTCTTCTACCTATCCACCTGTTAGACCTTTAATATAAGAACCTGTAATACCTACCTGTACCCTGTAATACCTGTAACCTGTAATAACTGGTCTTTCAATACCCTATTAAAGGAACTTTTTGAAAGCCAACCTCTGCCAACCTGTTTTGTGATTTGGAGTTCTTCGATTAGGAAATCTTTCAGTATATGTTCGAACAGTAGCACAACAATTTGCTTCACAATAACCCAAAATTACTAACATATCAGTTTGTTCAGCAAAAGTATAAATTGCAATAAAAAACAAAGTAAGCTAAAATTAAATCACAGCTAGCTTGATACAGAACCTTTTAATTATTGTTACGAATTTGTTTCTCTGTTATATGGCACCTCGTATGTTCTATTTATCTTAAATTGATTTTATATTATTTAATGTGTAAAAATGCCAATTTTACTCGAAATCCATAAACGATATCAAAATTTTGTAAGAGGCAAAAAATCTTCTAAAAATATAAATTCTGTCGTCATTGGCGTACATACATAAATGTTACGGGATAACCAGTGGCGCACAGGCACTAGAAAAAGAACATCCTGTATATGTATTCTCACCAAATTCTATATTTACATTGCCCTTATATCAAAAAATATGTGTATCAAATTTGAAGTTTCTAAGGAAAACGGTTTTCAAATTATTTGAAAAAAAAACAGGTTATCTGTTCTATATTTAGAAGGCTATATCTCAGTAGGCGTGCACTTTTGTATATAGGTAAATTAGGCTAAATAGCATTGTTTTCACCCAAGGAACCTGTGGTCAAGCGTTGTCCATCCTTTTCAGGGACACTCTGTAGATCCTCAAAGTAGCGAAACAGTTAAAGATTTCAAATCAGAAATAAGAGATTTCGAAATTCAACGCACTTTTTGCCGATGTCCTTTTTTATTCGATGTTGTGGACTTTTGTTTGACTTTTTTGTGAGTAGCGATAAACATCCTTGGCAAAATGACACACAGGCTCAATAACAACCGACTTGTGGACATGATTTTAATTTAATGGTCTTATACATCCCAGACCTCGAGGATTAGTTTATCAAGTTTATCGCCTGCGACAAAGGAAAGCTAGAAGATCGTGGAAAATAACAAAAAATCCAAGCGTTTCTCTTGTTTACACATCTCTAAAACAAGGTTTCTTATTGATTAAGTTCAGGGCCGTAACACACGCGTTGTTATATTAATTAGACTGTTAATTAAACTATCTCACAATTTTGTTTTATCTCTTGAAACATCACAATACGTAATGACGTAAACTACCGGTCTAAACAAATTAAAATCACTAACTGAAGAATTTCTGAATTAAGAAACGAAGAAAAATTTAAAAATATTTTTAATTATGCGAAAAATATTACTGGACTACCAAGTAATCGGGGCAAAAGTTGCGACGAATTAAAAATATTTTTGAAATATACAGGGTGATTCAGAACTTATCCAAAAAAAAATTCTGGATGTACAGGGGACCCTTACAAATACAATTTTGTAAAGAAAAAATCAAAAAGGTCAGTTCGAAATTGATTTAAAAATACACTTCTGCACGGCACTGGAAACTGGTCCACTGTAAAACCTGACCTCGCACAATGCGACCGGTATGGCGGTGTGATAAAAACGGACAAAAACTTTCGCAAAGACAGAAATATGTAAATAGAATTTTATGGCACCTATTTTATATCGGCAAATTCAAATGCTTTTGCCTTTATTAATTATTAATAAAATTATTTTGTGTTTTTAAATATTAAAATCATTTGACATACCCGATGCTGCAACAGCAATTGTTCAAAATTTTATCCACTCACGTGTAAACACATTTGGGTCCGTCTTACTCACTTTCTACGAACTAACACAAATGATGTCTTGCTTCACCATAACACAAATACTTCACTATAATACAAATGTTGTCTTGCTTCACCATAAATTAAAACGATATCCATCAACTCTTGAGTTGCTATACACGCAAGCCATTTTTGACACTAAACTACTAAAAAACTGATGTAAATACCACAGATAACAGGTAAAAACTACCGCAACGACGGATTTCAGTATTAGGAGTCACATGGCTCTCCACGCGTATTGCGAATGACGCTAGAGACTACAGTTGTCCAGCTATGTAGTGGTTCAATGTGCTATAACTTCAATAATTTTTTTCTCAGAAACTATAAGGATTTTACAAAATTTTTTTTACAATATTGGCTTCATTTCTCATGCCCAATTTTTTTTGGATAAGTTGTGAATCACCCTGTATTTCCTCTTATACCTACCTACTTGTTTTGGGAATTTACATGATTTAATTTTTAATTAAATTAATTTAATAGTTTTTATATCAATTGGTAATATTCAAATTCTTCATTTTTGGCATTTTTTCAACCCCTAAATAGGGGTGATTTTTAAAATTTTCAAAATACTAAAAGCTATGCTCATTTAAGTTTTTTACAAGTAAATTGCGACCAAAAACATATTTTTTATGTTTTTTTTAATTCTCTGCGAATTGTGAAAAAACGGGCGAAAATCATAATTTTTTTGCGGTCATTCCTATTATTTGAGAGCGGATTAATAAAATATCCAAATAGTTGCGTATTATTTTTTATAAAATGTAAATGAAAATTCTGCTCATCAATCATTCTATAATGTTGTAACTGCAACTAAAAGTTTCCAGATGCATTTAGTCGTTTGACTTAAAAAATTTTTTGCCTGTGGCGCTTTCTTTTTTCTTTTTTGTCCACCTAGTAAAAAAGCCACAGGCCTCACCTATTCACAATGTCACGAGCCGCCACTGGTAAAAGCAAGTAAAAAAAGGAATCTCCAATATATTCCTTTGTTATCTTTTACTTTGGCGTTTTTGGCGTTTTTTTTTAACCCACTCTATCAATTGCTTTGGCTAATATCGCAATAGAAGTGATATTTTTAGGTAATGTATGCGTAAGATGATTGAATATATAAAAAAAAGTTTAGTTTCAGTAAAATAGTCTCGCTCTCTTTTAATTCTTCTTTAGCGACATTGCAAGTGAGAATGAACGAAATTAACAACTTACTTTTTCCAGTAAACACGAAGATCAACCACACCCTAATCGCAGAACCGTTCGAGAAAAAGGGACGGACCTACTGGTCGTTCAAAGACTACACAGTCACCTTGAGACCAGAACGAGTCATCTTCAAATTCGACAACCTTTTCGATGGTGATTCCAGGCTAGGCGACGAAATCAACAAGGTTCTCAACGACAACTGGGACGAGGTGTTCACAGATGTCAGGGAAGGATACGAGAAAAGCTTCGGGCTTATCTTCCACGGTCTGGCCAACAGGGTCTTTACACGAGTGGCTCTTAGCGATATTTTCTTGGAATAAATACTGTGGAATAGATGTAGAAATTGTAGCGTATTCAAATTAGTTGATATAACTCTGTTTCTTTTTTCTTAAATTTAAAAATATGTCGTTTCTAGAACTAATTGTAAGTGTCCCGAAAAAAAAAAACAGGAATTACGTATATACTGTACATAACTTGATATTGTTCCAGCAGCTGAGTCGAATTTGTACTTGAATTATACTAGAACTGAATACTTCCTCTAAAAAAAAATAGTTTCAATGAAACTATTAAGTACAGTTTTAAAATAATTGGCCAAAGACTTATATACCGCGTCCACTTTTGATACAATTTTTTATTTTTTTTTACGCAACGTACTCCGAACTTCAAAATTATCTCTAACACACGAGGTGTTCCATTCGAGGATTAGGACAATCCATGGCGTGGAAAAACATTATTGTGTAAATTAAACATCTTATAAACATAAACTAGAGATTATTGTTATATTCTGTAAAGAGTATGGGATGTAGTATTGAATAAATAGTAAAGAGCAATGTAACTGGCTTTTAATTAGCTTTATTATTCTTAGTGTGAGTATAGCAAAATCAGAAAAATATTGTTGAGGATGAATATTTTCATTTAAAATATTATTACCAATTAAAAACGTAGTATAGTCTTTCCGATGTCAACTGAAGAACTAAGACGTTGACGGTATGTACCAGGTTCGGTCGCTGACGCAGCAACTCGGCATTGAAATATTTGAACAACTTGTTCTCATATTTATTTAACCATACCCATATACAGGTCTGGTCGAACTAAACGTAGAAATGTATACGCCCAGTTGAAGAATGCGCGCGCGGGCAAACGAAATCTAACACAACTACATTGGGCTACTGGGCAATAAATCTCAGTTTTTGACAAGCGGTTGACAAATTGCCCAGCAGTCCAGTGCAGCAATGCGGAATTTGGTGTGATTCAGGTAACTTTATTTTTTTAAAAGGCGCCTTCTATTATGCATTTATATTACAATTGCGAAAGGGAGAAATAATATTATTACAACATGGCATTTTGGAGACCTTTTCAAACGGAACAAAACGAAATTTACCATCAATATAATAAAATTGTTTCAGGACATAAATAATTAAAATATGTTGTTGGCCAAATCAACATATAATAGAAATTGTCTACACATTATATACAAATTATTATAGTTTTTTACCTTTAGCAGAAAACCTATTTAGGTACGTCTATGAGTCATTAAATTTTATTGCCCGGCGTTTTTTTGCATGTTCAACTGACTTCGGAGAGACTATAACACCAGTTATGTTTTTAAATTGGGCTTATGTTGTCGTTTTTTCTCTTTATTTAATAATTAATAACAAGATATGAAAAAAAAAATATTATGTTGGAAATCCCAAGGGGAAGTTCACACTACGTGTGCTCTACCACTTAACCCTTGCTTTCATTTAACATTTATGCATACAGTGTAGGAAAGTACCGATGGTCTATCAGAAGTTACGTGAGAGCGATAAAGTAAGCCATAGAAATCCATGTGATAGACAAGGATGGCTATAATGATTTAAAAATACACTTCTGCACGGCACTGGAAACTGGTCCACTGTAAAACCTGACCTTGCACAATGCGACCGGCATGCGGTGTGATAATAATGGGCAAAAAACTTTCACAAGGAAAGAAATAAATAGAATTTTATAGCACCTATTTTATATCGGCAAATTCAACTGCTTTTGCCTTTACTGTCATTATTAATTAATAAAATTAATTTGTGTTTATAAATAATAAAATCATTTGACATACCCGATGTTACAACAATTGTTCAAAATTTTATCCACCAAAGTGTAAACACATTTGGGTCCGTCTTACTCAGTTTCCACGAACTAACACAAATGCTGTCTAGTTTCACTATAACACAAATGCTTCACCATAATACAAATGTTGTCTTGCTTCACCATAAATTAAAACGATATCCATCAACTCTGAGTTGCTATACACGCCAATCTTTTTTGACACTAACTACTAAAAAACTATTGTAAACACTATATAACAGGTAAACACTACCGCAAAGACGATTGCAAAATCGGACTTCAGTATTCGGTGTCTCTGAGGCCACGTGGCTCTCCACGCGTATTGCGAATGACGCTAGAGACTACAGTTGTCCAGCTATGTAGTGGTTGAATGTACTATAACTTCAATAATTTTTTTTTCTCGGAAACTATAAGGATTTTACAAAAATTTTTGTTACGATATTGACTCCATTTTTCATGCCGCATCTATTCCCAAATTTTTTTGGATAAGTTGTGAATCACCCTGTATAGGTACGGAGGAGTTTTTGTCAACATAAGTTTATGAAAAAAGCATTGTAAATGAAAAAGTCTGCGGTTTGCCATGTTAGGTCAGGTCTAAACAAGGCCCATAAACGGGTGCACAGTAGTTGAAGTGGCTTAACACTAAAGTTTCGCATAGCATTTTCTTTGTATTGTAGTCAATATAACTCCTATGAGGATACAGAAGTCTCAAAGCATTATACTGACTTGCTCTCTGAACCTAAGTGAACGATCAAGAGTTAGTCCTAAATTTTTGACACTCAGATATTGTTATTTCAGTTGTGAAATTAATAGCGAGAACAACGAGTGGGGCGACATCTGTTATTTTATTTTTTAGTTTTGTCTTTTATTTAAGTTAATTTAAAAAAAACGGCACTAATTTAAATATGGGGGGCAGTAGCAAGTAAAAAGTTGTTATTCGCAGCATTAACACATTTTTTAATAGTATATTACATAATGAGTGTGGTAAAATCTAGTTACCCAAATATTATGTAGAATACTTTATCTAAAACCGTGCTTTTTTAAAAAAATATTTGTTAAAAGTCACCCTCTAAAAGGGTTACGCCTCTATTACTGTCTGCTTAATTTTGAAAAAAAAAAAACAAATAGAATCGAGCGATTGTGAAGGGGAAATATCAGATATCTGACAATAAATCTTAAACGTAAGTATTGAAAAACATCTCATTCTGATAGCAATTTTTAAGAAGAAATCGATTGGAAACAAAACAGTATTTTGAAGAGATGATGAATGTAGGGTTTGTTTTATTATTTGTTGCGATTGTTTCATTCCAAACACAAGAATGTTGTGGATGGCAGTTGTGTGCTGTGCTGTAGCAGAGGGATATGTGGCAGATTCGGTAAAAAAAAACAGGATTGAAATACAGAAGAAAATCAGTGGGATTTAAAAAAAAAACGATTCAAATTGACGAATGTGACTAACTCAACCATAACAAATAGATTAAAATAAATGTGTAGACATCGGTCAATTTCTTTAATAAAAAAATTAATTTCCTTTTTTGCACTGCAATGTTTTATCACAGACAAAATAGCTATCGCCCCAGACCGCTACTGGAATAGGCCAGCAGAATTTTAGGAAGAATCAAATGCAGCGGTCCGCATTCCTACGCGTATCCTAGTAACATATAATCAACGGTTTGTCAATGTTGCCACGTGTACTTACAGCTCTATTTTGTACACTTTTTTTGCGTTTCTGTATTTACTTAAATGTATGATGTAGAGGTATTGATAAAAATGTTTTAAAGAATCAACGAATACCTATGTAGTTTCATATGATATTCTGCAGCGGTGTCACAATTAGGTTATTTAATTATAATTTCGTTAACGAGCTACTATTTTCATTTTTTGGTATTGAAATACTGCAGAAAATATGTTTCCAAATAAACAAAATTCGTAGGTAATGATATTTTAAATAGCATGTAACATATTTTTTTTAATATTTGATGATCATAAATTTATTTAATATACAAGGTGGGTTTTTAGTACGTCGCGGAATGTAGGTACAGGTTTGACATCCACTTATAGGTTTAATAATTAAAGATAAAATATATGTTTAAAGTAAAAAAATCATTAAAAAAATTTAAATTTATCCTTATTGAAAAAACAAACAACGATTTTTATAATTAACCTTTACAACAACATAAGTAGAATACCTAAAAGCGTAATAACATTAAAATACTTACAATTTTTACAAATTTTCAATATGCAAGTAATTGTGATGATACAGTTGAAAATATGCCTTGATGTACTATTTATTCCTTTAAAAACAAATTCAGAATTATCAAACATTTCGTCCTGGATTTTTTCTTCCAATACTTGCAAATTTTGAGATCTTTAGTCCTATATTTTGTTGAAGTGTCAACACAAAAATATGTCTAAAGGACTGAGATCGGGGCTGTTTTCTGGCCACCTAAGGTTTCTAATAATATTGTTTACAGTGTTCGTTGACGGTATTCGTTCGCCAAAATAAATTTGCTGATATTCCTAAAGAACTTTTGCACATTATTGTCATTTGAATAATACAGTTTAATTATGTTTTATTTTTCGTTTCTGTCGTTTTTGTCTGATTGTGTGCGAGAGAGATAGAGACATACTGTGCGATAGAGATAAAGTGACTTTGTCCTCATAGAGGGCTTTTCTCTTTCTCTCTCTATCTCTCTCTGCTGTCTTCAGGAGTCTCTGGGGCTTCCCCAGCATCTTCAGGACACCTAAAGAGGGAGCGCGGGGTAGAGAGCGTGGCGTTTTTAGCCTTCATCATCGAGCTATGATGTCACAACGTATAAGAAAAAAAAAACGGTTTTTGCTCGTAACTCGGAAATGACTGGAAATATCAAAAAATCTCCCATGGTTCTGATTGGTATACGAGCGAAAAACGTCCGAAGTCCGCATGTCGAAAAAAAAAAAATCGGGACCAACAGTGTGTGATATCATAGAATAAAGAAGTGTTTATAACTCGGAAAGGCTGCGTTGAATCGAAAAAATAATTGAAAAAATCTCCCCACACCCTAGATCTAATTGTCCCTTCTGCGTTGAATGCAAAAAAAAAGGTCTTATAACTCGGAAACGGTGTGTTGAACCGAAAAAATAATTAAAAAATCTCCCCTACGCCCCAGATTGTGAATATCCGTTCTGCGTTGAATGGAAAAGGTCCGAAGTCCGAAAAAACAGTAATTGTTTCCCTACGTCTTAGTAAAATTAAGCTTTTAAGTTTCACTACTATACCTACATATATCGATACGTAAATCTAAAATTTCGAGTGAATTGCAGGAAAATAATAAAATTAAAAATAAAAGTTTCACATAACTTTACTTGTGCAGGTAATTTTACATTACCTTGTGTGGCATCTAAAGATCTCGTATGAAATTTTACGTAAAATTTGTACGAGTGTTACTAAACTTACGTACTTATTATATTAATTATTTAACTATACCATCTTTAGGTACTTTAATAAACTACTGAAAGTATACCAGTAAGGGCAGTAAGTTGTGCTAAACATCTTTTTTTTATCTTACTTTAATTTTTCCTTTCCAGGTTTGCTGTATAGAAATTTATATAAAAACCGGACCGAAAAAACCACTACGCCGACAGAGAACGCAAGTTGTAATGATTTCTGAAATACTTCTTTCCACTTCTTTAAAATCACAGTTACGTAAAATAGGCGTGGTATTATTTTTTAACATTAAATTACATATTA